CTTGGTGGTTAAAAGCGTGTTCATTTCTTTAATTATTCAGCAATTCCTTCGCAGGCCACTAGAAGGAAGCCTGCGTACCACCAGTTTTAATGCTACTTTTACTTGCTACTACTGCACAATGCAGAATCACCAGTGCTCCTTGAGGTTTACAAAAGCACAAGAACATTGGTCTGAAAGGCTTTTTAAAGACAAAACATTTAAAGCATGATGTGTGTGTGTGTGTTGTGTAGCAGAAGTCTGGTGTGGTGGACTTTGCTGCGGGTCAAGAGCTGGAGCTCTTACTGCAGGAGGGCTGCAGCTTCACTGTGCTGGACCAGCCCATCTCTCTGGACCGCCTGCAGCTCAAGAACATTGACCAGCTCAACGCTACAGGTGCTCAACACATACACACACACACACACACACTTATCATGCCTCGCACACAAATACAGACCCTTACACACAAAAACACACATGCGCATCCACCCTTACACACACATGGAAGCAGACAAACAGGCACACTCCCATTCCCCCACACATTCACACACTCATACACACAAACACATAAGCTCTCACAAACAGACATGCGCTCACACCCGACACAAGTGTCCAAACACACCCACACACACATGTCATTTCACTCTGCAGCCTAAGAGCGGTTACTCACTGAAGCTAAGAAAACTAGGTTGCTGTTGGAAGTAGTGTTAGAAAGGCCAGCAGGAGGCGCTAAACCTGTGGTCTGCGTGAGTCCTAATACCCCAGTAAAGTGAAGAGGACACAATACTGTCAGAGAGCGCCGTATTTTAGATGAGATGTTAAACCGAGGTCCTGACTCTCTGTGCTCATTCAGAGTAGGGGTGTAACGCTGGTGTCCTGGCTGAATTCCCTCCATCTGCCTTTATCGATCATGGCCTCTCCACTCCACCAATAGCTGGTGCGTAGTGAGGGCACTGGCGCCGTTGTCCTGTAGCTGCCGTCGCATCATCCAAGTGGATGCTGCACACTGGTGGTGGTGTGGAGAGACCCCCCCTCATGATTGTGAAGCACTTTGGGTGTATGGCCATACACAATAAATGTGCTATAAAATACACATTACACTACAAACACACACACACACACCAGATTAATTTCACATTGCTGTTCTAGCATCATTCACTAATCCAGAAATGTGATCAACAAATGATTGTTGTGTGTGTGTGTGTGTTTCAGCATCTACTCTGCCCAACTCATTCATCATAATGCATCAGAATCGCTACCAGCAGTGCATCGCCGTATTCGTTCTACAAGCCCAGAGCGAGTCAACCAAGGTCAGCTTTGTGTTTTTCTTGACGCTGAAAAATTCAGCTTCATCGCAGAAATAAAATATAATATCATAGAAGATCATCAATTTAAATTACACTACCTGACAAAAGTCTTGTCTTGATGCCAGTTGTAAGAGCAACAAATAACAGCTTGACTTGTAGTTGATCATATGGAAAAGTGGCAGAAGGTAGATTTTCAAATGAATCATCTGTTGAACTGCATCTCAATCATCACAAATACTGCCGAAGATTATTGGAACTCACATGGACCCAGGAGTCTCATAGAAATCAGTCAAGTTTGGTGAAGGAAAAGTCATGATTTGGGGTTGCATTCAGTATGGGGGTATTTAAAAGATCTGCAGAGTGGATGGCAACATCAACAGCCTGAGGTATCAAGACATTTGTGCTGCCCATTACACAATAAACCACAGGAGAGAGCAAATTCTTCAGCAGGATAGCGCACCTTCTATTACTTCAGCCTCCTCTTCAAAGTTCCTAAAACCAAAGAAGGTCAAGGTGCTCCAGGATTGGCCAGCCCAGTCACCGGACTTAAACATTATTGAGCATGTTTGGGGTAAGATTGCGTAGGCATTGAAGATGAATCCAAAGAATCTTAATGAACTTTGGGAATCCTGCAAGAACGCTTTCTTTACCATTCCAGATGACTTTATTAATCAGTGATTTGAGGCAGAGATGTATGGATGCAGTTCTCCAAGCTCATATGAGTCATACACAATATTCATTCTTTTTCCACTGCACCATGACTTCATACTCTATACTGGACATTACTTCTGTTAAGACTTTTGTCTCAGCAAAGTCAGACCTTTACTGTCTTAATTAATTAATTTAAAATCAAAGCATGATCATATTTTATTTTGGTGAATTAAGCGTAATCTAGAGGCCTTTGCCTTTCATATAAGCCACTTCTGATACCAAATGATCAACTAGAAATCAAGTTATTATTTGTTGTTCCTAAAACTTGGATGGGTGACAAGACTTTAGTCAGGTAATGTATAATAATGTTTTTCATTACTCAAATAAAGACAGCCAGCTAGAGACTTTGCTTTAAATAAATTAAGGAAAGAATAGTTGCATTAATAATATTGGATTTAAATCATTGTATTAGTATTTTAATTAATTATAATGAATTATTTGTAATTACTTTTTTTAATGAATTTAATAAACGTTTTGATGAAATAAATGCAGCCCTGGAGATCAGAAGAGACGGACAAACTTGATTGAAGAAAAATGCCGTACAGCAAGCGTGTGTGTGAAGATGAATGAGTGTGTGTGTTGTGTGTTTTTCAGAAAGCCTGGATGTCGGAGATCGAGAAGGCCGTGAGTTCTCTGCTGAAGCAGGACAGTCTTCATCCACGCGTCAACAACTCTTTTCACTATACAGAGTCGTCACAGATCTGATTTACACACAGACTTTCAGGAGAAAATACCCAGAGTGCCAATGGACACTGCAGTCCACAAAAACATCTCTACTTTTAGCCCAAAAATCATTATTTCTTCCACTTTTCTAAAGTTTACCAGAAAGCCGACACAATATATCGAGTCTGAGCCGGTCAGAAATCCCCATCAAAGTATCAAGTCTATCTTTGTGACATCGTAAGGCTGAGTTCTGGACAGCAATGGTGGATTTCACAGCAACAGTTTCCTCCGCTTATTCAGTTCAATTAAAGCAGAACAAGAGGAACTACTTTTCAGTTCCCCTTTTCAACGTTTGGAGAACAATCTTGCACGTTCCTGTCATAAATGAAGATGGTAGATTTTGTATTGTGAGGAATGTTAAATGCAGAACTTGTAAATTAGCCTTAATGCTATGAGTGTGTTTGTTTGTTCACCCTTGTTCCTGTTTGTATAAATTTAAAAGACAGAAAATGATGTTATGAAGTGTCGGAGTCTTTTCTGTTTGACCATGAAAACTAAAATATTGTCATATATGCCCTTCCAGCTGCAACCCATCACTGGGAAACATCCATACACACTTATTCACACACATACGCTATGGACAATTTAGTTTATTCAATTCACCTATATCGCATGTTTTTGGACTGAGAAGGAAACCGGAGAACTTGGAGGAAAGCCATGTGAATACGCCGCAGGCTGAGTGCCTTAGTGTCCGACCAGTGATGACATACAGCCATATTGCACTGCTACTAGTGTGATATTGCCTATTTACAACAGTTGGACAGCATAATCGTGTGTATAAAAATTTTAATGAAACACAGAGAGACTTAAAATCCTTTTGTTTGAGGAACTACTTTCTTCTGCCATTCATTCACATCTGTGGCTGACGTTAGAACAGCAGAAAACATTACTAAGTCAATAACATCACTTTAAATCTAGTATTTAAATGATTCTCTAGCATAATATCAGTCAGTTTAAAGACATTTCTCAGTATTTCTCTGTTACTATCGAGAGATCACAATAATTAACCCTGAAAAAGCCGACTCAGCACAATCACTACCAGATTACTGTTATGTTTGCAATCAGGAAAAATGCTAAACACATGCGGGCATTTCTTCTTTCTTTTTACTAAAGTAGTAGTGACGAAAACTGGGGATGCAACAGATGGCCATCAAAAAAGTAAATTATGGTTATGCAAAGAGTGGCCAACACAAAACACATACATTCCTGATATGCGAGTCCCATTTCAAACTCACACTACAATTACTATGGTATAAATACAGCACTGCAACATACTAAAGAAAGAAATCTACTGTAATTGATCAGCTGTAATTACAAATTACAATGTTTTAATCTTCTAAAAGTTTATTATGCGGTTTCTGTCACCATCTTGTGAATGGACAACATCAACCATCTTTGCTGTGCTCGAAGAAAAGCTAATAGCTGTTGATGCGCTGTCTCTTAGAAATGATAAATATTTTAAATAGGCATTATCCTTATAAATAAACTGCATAGTTGCAATCTAAACAACTACATTCTCGACTGAAAAAGCCTCATAAGTACATTATGTTGTTTAACAGCAGCGATATTTGTCAAACTGTAGAGTGCCCTCTGCTTGTCGCTGCATGTAGGTGGAGTAATACACAAGGGTGAATGGTGAAGAGATTGGACAAGTGCTGTTATTTGCAGAACATCCCACTGCTATCAACCAATCAGATTCAAGAACCAGACAGGACTGTGTGTCAACTGTGTATGTATATACAGTATATATATTGAAAACTGTTTGCCTTTTAAATACTAAAAAACTGCTTTTGGTTAAAGATGAGACATCATGTTTTGGTTTACGGAAGTAAGTGTTTGAATTTAACGTTTAAATTTCTTTCATGAAAATTAAATTCCAAAATATGGGTGAAATAATCTTGCATCATTTAGAAAATAAACATGTATTTAAAATTATACTTAAAAAAAATACTTAAAATAATTAAATATAAAGTTTGTGCTCAATAATAAATTGTATTGTATGATAAATGATTCAAAATGTTCTGTAGACAAATGTGAAAAACCTAGAAGTTGAAAAGATTTAAAGATTTTAAATAACAGAAAACATTTATTAATTTGAGAAAAATCTTTCATTGGTATATAACTAATGTTACACTGAACTACATTCCAGATTTTAGTGGGTGTAAATGTAAATCTATGTAAACAAGTTTAAGAGCAACTAAAATGAAACCCCAAAAACAAATTCAAGCATTCCAAATATGAATAAACACCACAGCCATCAAACAACACTCCATGAGGCAGACAGAAAATAGAAACAACTAGTTTATTATTTACTCTTAAACATGATGGAAAATTAGAAAACACATAATACCTCTGAACATGTTTTTGTCTTCCATAACATCAAAACATCTCAGTTCGTCAAGTAGTTTACCATCAAACAAATCACCTTCGCCATCTGCTGTTTTACACCTTTATTATATTCTGATAGTGATTCTTCATCCACGTCTGATGCTCTGCCAAAGGAGTGAGCAGATCTCCTGCTTCACAAATGCACAGAAGATGACAGAAATAAAGCTGGATGTAAGGCACACACCAACATGAGCACAACATGACTATGAACACCCTGCCGTTCAGCCAATGGATTGATAAGAACAATAATACTGCATGACATCCGTATAACAGACACTGCTAGTGTGTAGTGCTGACCAGAAGTGATGTACTTTGCATTTGCGACCACACATGAGTTGTACAGCACTGTTAAAGAAACACTACACTTTTTATTTAGGAAATTAGGCTCATTTTATCATTCACCAAGAGTTAAACAGTTGACTTTTACCATTTTTAATCCATTCAGCCAACCTCTGAGTTTGATGGGAGCCCTTTTAGCTTAGCTTAGCATAAATCATTGAATCAGATTAGACCATTAGCATATTAAAAATGATCAAAGAGTATGGATAATTTTCCTATTTAAAGCTCAACTCTTCTGTGGTCATATTTGTGTATTAAGACAGACAGAAAGTGAAAAGGTGTTGTTTTCTAGGCTGATATGGATAGGAACTACACTGACGTAATAATTAAAGAACTCTGCTGCTGTACCACGGCTGCAGTAGGCACAATAATGTTATGCAGTGCCTGAAAACAGTCCTCAGATAGGTAGCTAGGTAACAGCGCTACATAATATCATTGCACTCAATGCAGCCATGGTACTACAGCAGAGTTCTTGAATTATTACGCCACAATGAAAGTATAGTTCCTAGCTATTTCGGCCTAGGATATAGTAACTTTTAATTTTCTGTCTGTCTTGGTGGAATATGTAACTACAGAAGAGTCAAGCTTAAAATAGAAAAATTACTAAAGTCTTTTTTGAATGTTTTAGTGAAATGCTAACGGTCTAATCCGATTCAATGATTTATGCTAAGCTAAGCTAAAAGTGCTTCCGCAAGACTTGGAGATCGGCTTAATGTATTAAAAAATGGTAAAACTCAACTATAACTCTGCGTGACTTGTAAAATGAGCTTATTTCCGAAAGTGTACTGTTCCTTTAATGGTAAGAGAAAACACAAAGTGAAGTCAGATGGAGGTCGTATATGGCACAGAGTGGCATCTATGATATTGTTTTCGATGGCGGCACACAAAATTAAAGGGATATTATTCATATAATATTACATTTTTTAAAGTCACCTCACTTGACTGAGCTGGTGAAAAGCGCAAAACATCCTGAGACACTTTAACATTGTGTTTATGCTCCTGAATGCATCTACTGACACAAACCGCATGAAATCATTACCTCTGAATCACACACGATTCACGATGTGCGATCTATTAAACTGAGTGAAAACATCTATTAGACAGAGATACAGTGAAGTGTACTGTACAGCAGTGAGTGCTCAGACAATCTCACAACACGCTCGGCTTCTGCTAAAGATATAGATCAACAACAAAGAAAACTGTCATTTACTGACCCTCATGTTGTTTCAGAGCTCTATGAAAGGAAGATGTTCTGAAAAGAATTAGCTTGTGTCCACACAATGGAAGTAAATGGGGTTCAAATGTATTTTGAACATTCATTTTCACTGTGTGGATTCAAACACAAGGAAAGTTGTATCATTTACTGTTCTGCAAATGAAACAGATGTACTATTATATATCAAAAATAATACATCTAAATCTTATTTTGAAAACATTTCAGTTCCCATGTAGTTTCTATTTGTGAACAAAAAACAACAGATAACAATGAGAATGGAAACTGTTTGGTCATTAAAGGGACAGTTCTGACAAAACTAAAAATTCTTTCAACATTTTCAGACTTTTCACTGTTAACGGAGTTTTTTTAAATTATGAACACAAAAGTTAAGAAAGAATGTTGGAAAGCTGTAACTATTGACTTCTATACAGTAAGATTATCTTGTTTTCAATGTTAATTTAATGTTTAATGTAAACTTTCAATGTTTTTTTAATTCAATATTACAGTTCGTAACATTCTTCAAAATATATTATTTTTGTTTTCAATTTTTAAAAATCCCACAAAGGTTTGGAACCACTTGAGTGTGAGTAAATTGTTATTTTTGTTATTTAACATCACTTTAAAATTATTCAAAATGTTCTTGGTTTGGCATGAAAAGATGTTTTGAAACATTGGTTACAAGTTAGGGGGGATGGAGTGTGCGGAGTAGGGGTCACTTCTGCTATATTTGCAAAAATGCAATGGAAGTTAAAAGAAAAACCAAAAACTGTATTCAACATTCTTCAAAACATTTTCTTTTGTGTTCTGGAAAACAAACAAACAACATGAGATATTTTGAAATGAAGTCAAAGAGAAAATAAACTGATCAACTACATACTTAAAAAACATTTTTTTGTGTACTACAAGAGGCAAAAATAAGATAAAACGTCTTGTAGAAGTTTGCAGAAAAACATTTTTTGTTTGTAGAAGTCAATGAGAAAGACATCAAAAGTATTTTGAACAGTTTCTGTTGTCACTTTTTTGCATTGAATGACAAAAAAAGATCAACAAAGTCATTACCGCTCTTCAAAACATGTTCTACAAGTAGCAAAAAAATGAGAAAGAAAGAAAGAAATATTTTGGAAAAAATGTTAGCAAACTAAAACATTCTGAATAAATAATGTGGGAAAACCACAACAGAACACACTGTAAGAGTTTGCTTACTAACATTTTTGAAAAATCGTCATGTTGTGCACGAAAAAAAAATTGTAAAAGCAGTTTTGGTTTCAATAGACTATTTACTTCCATTCATTTTTTTCTTCATCACAATAATCTACTAAATGGAACACAGTACACTGTTTGGTCTCCAACATTTTTCAAAATATTTTTTGACATAAAAATAGACTTTTAATAGATAATAGATATTTATAGATAATAAAAATAAGTCAGTTTTCATTAACTTCAATAATATACTTGATACACGATAGACATCAATAGGAACTAAAATGTTTGTTTACCAACATTCTTCAAAACATCTTCTTTTATGTTCCACATATGAAATAAACAGGTTTGGAACAACATGAGGGCGAGTAAATAATGTCAGAATTAACACTATTACATTTTGGAGTAAACTATCCCTTTAAACCTAAAGGGTTAGGGTTAGGACAAGCCTATTTGATGCCATGAAAGAGAGAGAATCATCTCAGGCTGACGATAAACACACTGTAGCAGCTGACATTAGAAACACAATCAGCGGTCTGTCATTCATTTTCATTAGCGCTAGCACACAAAACAAAATTACACCCAACGCACAGTTATTGCTTAAAAGCAGGGCACATACATCCAACATGTGATAAAAAAGAAACCAGAACATAGAGACGTTTCTGTGTGCGCAAATCTTTAAAACGATCACCAACTTCTGGTGAGATTATAAATGAGAAATAAACATCTCCACAGACAGAAGAGCAGCAAAAAAGCAAGCATGTACATCACACCCCACGAACCGTATGTTAACATGCCCACACTGAGTGACAAATAGAGTGACAATTATATCGCAATATTCACATGTGCCTCTTTTAGTCTGTACAACTACTTACAAATATGATATATCAAATAAAGAGCAGCTTCCGTTCTCCTCTGCACGCTTTAAAATATCATGTCAGTGTAAAACCTTAAACATTTAAGTCAAAACTCAGGAACTGCTCCTTTATTTTGTTCAAGCGGACCCTTCATTTTTCACCCATCGGGGTGTGAAAGCGGCCCGTAAGTGGCAAAGGCACTGGACAGAGGAGGACAGGTTTAATTTAGTGTTACCTCCGTCTGACTGGCAGCATGATGAGCCCACCCGTGACGTGCAGCTCCTGTGTTTGCTGTGGAGAGGTCAGGGTGAGCGGGACTTGCAGAGGGGTTTCGGGCGGGACAGGGGGCCGATCAGCCCTGGAGCTCATCAAAGCAGTTGTCACACACTCGAACGGGCTTCTTGGAGGAGGGTGTGAGGGCGTTGCGGGCAGAGCACTCTGCACAGAAGATGTTCCCGCAGTGTCTGCAGTGGTGCTGGAGAAACACAGAGGGCAGGTCTCAGGTCAGCTGGGTTAAAAAACTTGTGTGATGGAGTGATAGTTTAGGCTTGGGTTGATTGATCAAAATATTTAATTCACTTTGATTTGGAACTGATTTATTTGAAGATATTTCTGTCATTCACTTTTTTTTGTAAAGCATATGTTCAAGAAAGTGAGTACATCTGCCAATATTCAATAATACAATACATGGTGATAATAAAAAAGATGTATTTTTTAATAATAGTTTTTAGGGGTTTTCTCCTTTATTTGGATAGGACAGTGGAGATTTTACAGACAGGAAAGTGTGGAGACCAGAGATAGGGAAAGGATCGGCAAAGGACCTCGAGCTGGGATTCGAACTCGGGTCGCCGTTAGCACCTTAGTGCTATGTGTCGACGCACTAACCCAGGCATGGGCAAACTTGATTCTGGAGGGCCGATGTCCCTGCAGACTTTTGCTCCAACACTAATAAAACACCTGAAAAAACTAATCAGTGTCTTAAAGATTACTAGAAAGCTGCAGGCATGTGTGTTTGATTAAGGTTGGAGCAAAACTATACAGGACACCGGCCCTCTAGGATCTGGTTTGCCCATCCCTGCACTAACCACTAGGCTATTAGTGCTAAGAATGTGCAGGTCACAGTGGTTGTTTTTTTATCAAAAATGCTTGAAAACTTTATTATAAAAATAAATAGTAATTCATTTATTTTCTTTTTGGCTTAGTCCCTTTATTAATCTAGGGTCGCATCAGCCGAATGAACCACCAACTTATCCAACATATGTTTTACGCAGCGGATGCCCTTCCAGCTGCAACCCATCTCTGGGAAAATTCCATACACACTCATTCACACTCATACACTGGACAATTCAGCCTACCCAATTCACCTGTACCACATGTCTTTGGACTTGTGGAGGAAACTAGAGCATCCAGAGGAAACCCATGCGAACATGGGGAGAACATGCAAACTCCACACAGAAATGCCAACTGACCCTGCCAAGGCTCGAACCAGTGACCTTCTTGCTGTGAGGTGAACGTTTTATACAAATTATAAATAGCCTAAAAATTATGGGCTATTTGTTGTCCAACATATTCATTTGAACAAGTTAATCTGGTCTACAACATTCCCAAGATAAAGATTGTCTGATTCTTCATAAGTGTGCCTGTTGTTAACAGGCGATGCAGTGGCGCAGTAGGTAGTGCTGTCGCCTCACAGCAAGAAGGTTGCTGGTTCGAACCTCTGCTCAGTTGGCGTTTCTGTGTGGAGTTTGCATGTTCTCCCTGCATTCGCTCCGGTTTCCCCCACAGTCCAAAAGACATGCGGTACAGGTGAATTGGGCAGGCTAAATTGTCCGTAGTTTATGAGTGTGTGTGGATATTTTCCAGAGATGGGTTGCAGCTGGAAGGGCATCCGCTACATAAAAACGTGCTGGATAAGTTGTCAGTACATTTCACTGTGGCGACTCCGGATTAATAAAGAGACTAAGCCAATAATAAAATTAATGAATGAATGATTGTTAACAATTTACAATGAGGCTCCAATTGTTAACATCAGTAAATTAAAATAAACTGATGATAAAATTACTTGTAAAGCATTTTTTAATATTTTAGGTGATGTAAATATCTTGGTTAAGGTTTAATAAATCATGGTCACTTCAACTTAATGGTCACTTCAATGCACTTAATAAAGTTAAGTGCACTTTTCTTTTTAAACTAACATTACCAGTGCAGCAATTGTTACTCATCCCTAGGGCCATACAGAATCTGTGAACATGTTTTGCTATTTCTGCAAAGAAATTTTGCAAAAACATCTACTGATTCATGTGGAATGATTTTGGGAGTTTCACAACTAAAAATGTAATACATGAAATAAAAACAAATAATGCCTTTTTAACTTTTATTTATTGTTTACAATGCAAATCCACTTAGATCCACTTAATTGGTAAACAAAGTCTCTCATTTAATAAGTCTACTAAAAGACAGAAAATATTACTTTAAAAACTTTATTGTAAATAAATCAAATGAACATTTTCATATTTGTCAATAATATTACTGGAATTAACTTCAAAATTTAATAAGTATAAATTTAAACACCTTTACACAAGTAAATAAGCAGACTCACTAAACAATGAGCTAAAAATCGGAGAAAATCTGCAGATTTCTGCCCGCACAGATTCTGTGTAGGCATACCCATCACTGTTGATGTTAGTTTATGGTTAAACTAATGTTTATTAATGAGATTTTATTGTAATTTGTTTTACTTAATAATCTGCCATAATTTTTACTCTGAATATTTACATACAAAAAATAGTGCTCTTGAATGATTTATCCTGACTAATTGCATACAAAAAAGTATGCACTTATATCACAATTTAGTGTGTATCATTAACAAATACATAAATGATGTAGAAATATTAGTATGTATGTGAAAAATGTCTGCATTTATATATACATAATTAATATGCGCTGGACAAGCACATTCAAATTCAAATATCAACTTTTATGTTGTACATTAGTCACATATAATCATGAAACTACTAAAGCAAAACACAAACATAGTTAGTTTGCTACTGTATATAATGTAATAGCTCTGCAATTATTGAAACAAGAACATTTGGGAACATTTTACGGTATCCTTGTTAAACTTGTTCCATGTAATTACAATAGTAATTACAATTAATTATGCATAACTACATTCAACTAGCTCTAAACAAACACATTCAAACCACATAGTAAGTACATGTAGTTAATTAATATTACTCGGTAGTTAAAGGAATAGTTACATTTTAACAAGGACACCAAAAATGAAAGTGTGTGTTATAGAGTGAATCTATAATGCAGACCTTTCTGACAGTGACGGAGAAGCCTTTCCCACAAGCCATGCAGTTCTGCACCTCATGGTCTTCTGTCCACTTCCGTGTGAGGGATTGTGACTGTTTTATCTGAATCAGGAGAAAAAAAGAGCCACATAAAAGACACTAATCTTTAGAAAAGATTCTGAATTGTACAATCAGTAATTTCAGTGTGTCTAATGTTGCTAAGTCAGACCTGTAAGGACTGGTTCTCTCGACCAAGCTCCTGCATGGCGGCAGTAGTGTCGTCCAACTTCCTGCGCATCTCCAACATCTTAGCCTGAAGCTTCTCCATCTCCCCTTCACCCTGGACGCACCTGGAAAATGAGTTATTTGCTATTATTGATTACTTTCTACTTATTAAAGGAGAACTTTTTATAATTTTCAGTTGTCGTCACACCATTAGGCAAAACATTTATATACCCTGTTGATCGCCAAGTCACAGGCTAAATAATTACTCTATTTTTTTATTTTCCAAAAACCTGGAAAATTGTTGTGCAGTCAGGTTTAGTGTTATAAACCAACAAGGAGACACACCTAAGCTGTTCTTCTACAGATTTCCTTCATAGAAAGATCAGCCAGAAAAGAGAAATTTATGAATTTGCGCCAAATACTAACATTATTGATCCATAACAAACATATTACCTACAACTGTCAGTGTGTTTGTATGCTTTTTATACAGTTTCTAATCTAATTTGCAGGTCAAGTGCAATTTAAGTATAAATAGCAGAAGTGAATGAACAGATTTTTCCTAAGAGCAAATATAAATCTATTTAATTGGACTACGAAAAGATAACGTTAGACCAGTTTGTGCTGCGTTTCTATAGAGATCCCAGTGTAGCTGCCATTCTATTTTTGCTTGCCAGGTCTCCGCACAGGTGACGTGATCAGTTGTGGAAAATTCTCTTTGAGATTTGATTCCTTTTGTTTTCCAGAAATGTCAGAATAGCATATGGCGGCCCCGCCCTCTTCTAGTAACTCATTTGCATTTAAAGAGAATGAGAAAAAAATCTGTGTTTTTGCTCACAACCAAATAGGAGCAACTTTGACAAGAAATAATTAATGATCTACTGTGTAATGTGAGCTGAAACTTTACTAGCACATTCTGGGGTGACCAGTGACGTTTTTAACATCTTATGTAAAGGTGGACAATATGTCCCCTTTAAAGCTCCAGATATCAGTATCTCAAACCTCTCAAGTAGTGCACGTCTTTCGTCTTGGTTGTTCTGGACTGTTGCTTCCAGCACGGCAATCTCTCCTCTCAGCTCATCCGTCTGTTTCTCCAGCTCACCCACCCGCCTCTGGCTGCTCTGCCACTCTCGCTTCAGCGTGGCCACGTTCTCATTCAGTGCCGTCACCTGCATGGACATCTTCACCTCAGCCTCTTCCCTCTGCCGCACCATCTCCTCTTTAGCCTTCACTTCTGATGCCTGAAGATGGAACAGAAATGTAACTTCTCTGTGGATTTTTTTTGAAAGCAAGTTTGCTAAATAGGTCAGCCAGAGAGGTTACTTGCTAGCTGGTAAATTTTTAATAAAATAAAATTGTTTAACATTGTTTAAAGTATTTTTATTAGGGAGACATTTAAATAAATTATCAAAAATATATATATTTGTTGGCTTTTGGTCAAAATTAGTACAAAATGCTAGCTTGGCTCACTTACATCAGCAGGGGATTCTACAGTGGAATAAATAAACAAATAAAAATAAATAAATAAATAAATAATGTGAAACTTAAGAAAGCAACATATAATCAATGAAAATAAATAATATTTTAATAAATATTAAATATAAAAAAAACAATAGCTTAGTTTTAGTCTATAATAGAACCAGTCATTATTATTATTTTTATTATTATTATTATTATATAACACTATATTTGGTTATTTGTAGTAACCTTGTGATAGCATTTGTAGATATTCATTATTATATTAAATATATAAAGAAATGTTTCTAATATTGTTATTTAATATTTTAAATAAATATCAATATCATTGATTATGACAAATAATAACATTGTATTAGTAGTAAATAAATAGTATGCTATAAAGTAAAAACTATTTTATTAATATTATTGTAATAAAATATTGAAAATAAATCAATAAATGTATTAATATTAAATACAAAAAGTCTGCAGGCAAGTAAATGTTATTTTTATGCTAATCACTAATATTTTATAATATTAGCAATAGTATTAATAAGAGTTACTATTAAATGAATGCAATACATAAATACAAAACAAGTATTACCTAGCAGTACTATATTTTCTCACTAGTAGTAGTAACATCATAGTACCAACAAATGAAGACAAAATAACAACTAAAATAAAGAAATAACATCAATAATTTAAAAAAAAGCAAGCTAGATAGCTAATATGACCAGTACCAGCTGCTGCTTTATTTTGTTGGTCTCAGCCTTGAGCTGCTGCTCATTCTGTTTGATGGAGTCTCTGGTCTTCTGATGCTCTCTCTGTTCTTTCTCCACAGATGCTTGAGCCGCCTCTACCTTCCCCTGCATCTCCACCTTTTGCTGGATCAACAACTGCTTTGCTGCCTGCAAGTCCTTCAGCTCCTGCCAGACACAGAAAGAATTTGCTGTTACAACCAGTGGGATCTGAACTGTTCATGTATGGGTCAAAAGCCCAGAGCACCAAACTATACCATATGAAGTTATAAACAGTCATAATCAAAGAACATTAATAAAATTTGTGAATTCAATACTGGTAATTTACAGAAATTCTAATAAAATGTGCATTATTTGTCAGAGTTATTGTACAGGATTTAAATTGGAGATATTTTATTTTAGGAATTTCTCAGTTTTTTTTTTTCATTCTGCTTGTGACAATTGAGTACAATTGTTGAAATAAAACAGTAATAGTAAGTTGCTATGATTATTTTATGACTACATAAACAATAATTTTATTTTATGACAGCCATAATAATAATAATAATATAAAAAAATAATAATAAAAATAATAATAATAATACATTTTATTTATTTCTAGCAACTCAAGGACACCGCACAATCAACAAGAGCAATAAAACAACATGAGAAATAATAAAATATAGACAGCAATAGTGCAGATAAAATTAAGTATTAAAAGCCATCCTAAATAAGTGGGTTTTGAGTCTAGATATGAATAGTGTGAGGGGGTCAATGTTCAAAATCACCCAATGTCAATGAGTCAATATCACCCTGCAGCCCAAGACCAATTACTCACTGAAACTAAGCAGGGCTGAGCTTGGTCAGTACCTGGACAAGACACCACATGGGAAAACTAGGTTGCTGTTGGAAGTTGTGTTAGAGAGGCCAGAAAGGAGCGCTCAACCTTTGGTCTGTGTGAGTCCATATGCCCCTGTAAAAGTGAAGGGGACACTACACTGTCAGTGGGCGCCGTCTTTCGGATGAGACGTTGAACCGAGGTCTTGACTTTCTGTTGTCATTAAAAATCCCATGGCACTTCTCGTAAAGAGTAGGAGTTTAACCCCGGTGTTCTGGCCAAAGTCCCTCTATCTGCCCTTACTATTAGGGCTCTCCAATCCACCTATAGCTGGTGTTTGGTGAGTGCACTGGCACCATTGTTCTGTAGCTGCCATCGCATCATCCAAGTGGATGCTGCAAACTGGTGGTGGTGTGGGGAGACTCCACTAATGACTGTGAAGATTTTTGGGTGTATGACCACACACAATAAATGCGCTATATAAATACACATTACATGATTGTTAATGTGAATTTCAATGTGTTTTGGGGTCTAACCTTCTCATTCTTCTCAGCCAGTGTTTTGAGATCAGCAGACAGTTTGTTTTTGTCCTTTTCCAGGGCGCTTTGACTCTCTCTCAGCTCCTCGCATTGAGCTTTCTCCTTCTTCAGCTGCTCCTCTGTTTGTCCCTTCAAAAGACACAAAGACCCAGTCAGATCATAAAATAGCACACGATTTGTCTGTGCTAATCTGCAAATATAATTTATGACTGACAAATATTTCTGTAACCTTCAGAATCTGTGATTCAAAGTCTTGCTTGAGGGCACAAGTGTGATTTCTCAGGCTTGTTCTGTTACCTGTTGTTTCTGGAGCTTCTGCAGAGTCTCCACTTGCTGTTTGATCTTCTCGTCTCTCTTGCTCAGGTCTATCTCCATCGCTGTGTGGCCCGTCTTCAGCTCCTGGATTTGGGTTTCGTAAGCACTGAGCTGGTTCCTGTTGGTCACCAGCTCCTCCTGAGCAAGAACCAACTTCTCCTCGCACACCTGCATGGCCAATAGGAGGTTATTATTAGGTAGTGATGGTTATGATTTATTACCATAGTTTGTTTTGCATGAATCAGACCTTAAGGTCCTGGCGTACAGCAGAGAGCTCAGACTCTTTGCCATAGTAATCAGACTGAAGGGCGGTGAGACTCTCTTTGGTGCCGTCACTGGTTTTCTGCAGCTCTGCACAGCGATTCTTCTCTGAGCTCAGATCTTTAGACAGTGCTGTGATTTGCTCCTTTTGCTTGGCTTCCTCTTCAGTCTGAAACACAATTCCAGTTTATTCAAGGACGAAGTTTATGTCACCTTCATTTCTATCACGAAATCAACAGAAAATTAGTAAAAGTTCAGACACTGTGTTACACTTATGGCCTTTTGCACTGAGTAGTATGGTTTAATAGAGTAACAATGAAAAGGGCTGGACATTTTTACTCTATATTAATTTAACTGCCAATCACACAGGAGAAAAGCGGAACAACAGGAATCTTCAATTGTATTGATGTTAGAGATTAACTGCATTTTTTTCGGCCTCTGAAATGAGGTTATGCTATTTAATGGACCCTATATTTTTTGAGGCTTCAGTCATTGTTGGGATACTCATTTAAAGCTGGAAGCAATAAAAAATTATATCAAAATATATATTGTTATCATTTAAGGTGGAAAAGAATTATCGAGATTGCATTTTTGCCATATCACCCAGCCCTAAGTACGATGCTCATTTATATACGGTTCCACTCTAAAAGGTTCCTAAGAGTACCGAAAGGATGGAGGTAGTCTCACTGCTGAATGCTACTGGTGTACAAATAAACGTCACTTGCGCATGCAACAAGACAAACATAGGAAATGGCATTTTAAAATACACAGCTGAAACAAAACACCAAAATAATACAATAGTGGCACACAACAATGAACCCTGCTCAAACAAAGCTTGTCTCTTCTTCTGATGAACAACCACATACCAAAAAGCAAGAACATAATCTGCTGTGTGACTTCTATTGTTGTTTTATGGTATCTTTCACAAGTCACATCTAAACATGTGAGCTTTCATTTAATTTGTGTCTACGTTTATATATTGTGCCAAAAGATGATGATATGTCAGATATGTCAGCCTGGAGGGCAGGCATCCTGCATATTTTAGTTCAAACCCCTAAACTAACTAATCAAGCTTTTTCTAGGTATACTAGAAACCCCCAGGCAGGTGTGTTGAAAGAAATTTATTATGCAGGATAACCACTCGTTTAGGTTTCTCAATTCTGCAAAACACAAAAGATATTTTGCCATTCTTTTACCAAAAGCAACAGATTTCACAAACTCCAACATTTATGTTTTATGATTCACGATCTGGACAAAAATACAATGAAAGTCAATTGGATCCAAAACTATATGGTTACCACCACTCTTCAAAATATCTATGTTTCACTGTATTGACAAAAAATATATATACAATAGAATTCAATGGAAACCCAAACTCTAAATATAAAGAAAATAAAACAAATAGAAAATGGATCTCAATAGAAATTGGAACTGATTACCAACATTCTGTAAAATATATTCTAAATTTTTTTAAAATGTAAAGTGGGTAAACACTAGACATGCCCACACTACGTCTATTCGAATTGCAAAAATTGTTTTCAATAGAGGTACACACACACTGACACCACAATTAAGCACCTTTCACATTACTTAACAAGGTATCCGCTTGTTAAGTGGTGACGTGTTGGTGGCGTCAACACCAATACTGTTTCCGGGTCCAAGCCGCCACTTATTTGAGTTGAGATATTATTTATTTATGATCACTTTTTACTCATTTCACACATTAAAATTAATTTTATATATAGTCATAGTGTACTCAACAATCTCTGGGCTTGCTGCATAACAAAATTTTAACAATTTATTAAAAAAATGAATCACTTTCTGCCCATCGGATATTAGGCATGGACATATATATATATTGCGATTATGATTTTCGCTTTGTAAACCTTTATAATTACCATTTCATGAGTCTCCCCATAAAGTTAAATAGAGTGCTTGGACCTGGAAGCCGCTTCGCGTGATGTCACACTTAACAAGCGGATAGAAAACATTGTAAATATGGGTATACTGTGACGCGTATGGTGTACAGCCCGCTTTGGGAACCAAAAATATTTGGTACGCAGCAAATTTATCCAAAGAACAGTCTATTTGAGTACCTGTTTCTGAGCATTTCATACTACATCAGTTAATAAGAGAAACATACATGCCTTTTTAGCAAGGGAAGCCTGCAGCTCAGACACCTGTGTCTTCAGTTTCTTCACTTCCTGACTGAAGGAGCCTTGCCTGGTCTTCAGCTCTGCCTGCAGCTGCTGTTCACTCTTTTCTTTCTCCTTCAGTGTATCCTGACACTGCTTCAGCTGAGCGTTCAGTGCAGTCAGCTGAGATTGAAGACTCTTTTCTGCCTAAAAGATTCAACATTATTGCAAAATATATCACGATTCGTCTAAAATGGGGTATATAAGCGATGCTATAAGCGATACATAAGCGATGCTTTTTTTGATCAATCTTACCTCTATCGATTTCTCCAGCAGACCTTTGACATTGCTGAGCTCTTTAGAAGTGGCCTCTGAGTTCTTCTGAAGCTCTTGTTGTACTTTTTGAAAAACCTTTTCCTGAAAAAAAAAAAAAAAAAAAAAAAAAAAAGACTGTGATTTAAAACTTTTTGTGCAACATTTGCTTTAAAAGTGTGCTTGTACTGCATCACTGCATTTAGGGGAGAGAGAGTTTTAAATGTATTGCTATATCAGCTTTTCTGGCTATTTTATGGCAAAACCATTTTATAAATATTACTTTTCTATAATAATAAAAAAAAACTTTAACAATAAAAATACATTAACAGCAATAAATCTAAAACATGTTAAGTTTTAAATAAGTTTTTGATTGACTTTTAAATGAAATTGCACTATTATTGAAGGATTCACAGTTAAAAATATTTCCTTTAAAGTCTCTCCAGATAACAATTGTCTGATAACATTAAAAATAGGGCAGTCCAAAAAAACAGGTTTATTACTGCATTAATATTTGTTTTGTAATGCAATGACTTTCATTTATTTGCATACAAAGATTTTTTTGAGGCAAACCCCTGTTAAGCGACCAACCTTCTCCTCCAAAGTGGCCTTGCTGCCCTTCTTCTCCTTGTCTAATTGAGTCTGGCTCTCCTTCAGGGCTTTAGAAGCTTTACTCAGAGCCTCTTTCACTGTCGCCACTTCTTTTACCAGCGTTTCTTTCTCCCCCTGAGTTTTCTGGAGATCTGAACTCAGACCCTGCACCTTCTTGTCCAACTCTGCCTGCTGCTTCTGACCCTCCTGAGACAGTTTATCCAGGTTGGCCTGCAGGGCTCCACGCTCCTGCTCTGCTTTCTCCAGCTTTTGTCTTGTTTCGGTGAGAGCTGAGCTTTTCTTCTTTAGCTCCTCTTGCTGGGTGGAAGCTCTAAAGAATCAAAGAGGACATCAAACATCATCCCTGTGCTCACTAATGCAGAATTTGATACACAGTAAAAATGTTTTTTCCCCATTACAACCTTATAACATCTGATGAGCAACTTCTAATAAACAAGAAGTTTTTTTTAGAATATATTATACAAATTACATTATAAGCATGTCATTTGGTAAAAATGTAACCTGCTTAATGAAAAAAAACTGACAAATGCATTGAAATGGTAAATTACAAATGAAAACATCATATATAAAAAACAAGTTGATATAGATATTTCTCCAGTAGTTTTTTTAGGTAACAGTTGGAAGAAAGAGAATTTAACTATAACGATTAACTATATAATAAATATTAACTATAATATTTTAAGTTATGACTGCTTCAGATCTGTAAAACCTTGATATTTAATGTCTGACAAAACAAGAAACTATCAATATTACTTTGAAAGAGTAAATTAATTTTGTTTACTTGAATACAACAAAAAATCTGATTTCATGCTGGAAGAGTTCATCTAAACATGTCAAAACTTTTTAATGGTTAAATCTGAGAAGAAGAAAACAATTTTTTAAAAGTATTTTGATGGTTGTTAACACTAATTTTTAACAACTAGGGTATGTTGCTCTTTGCATACCTTGACCTCAAAACAGCTTATCAGTTGCATAGGATTAGTTTTAAGGATATGTTTATGCAAACTAATCATTACTGTAAATGTTATCTCTTCAGATAGGATAAGTGATATAATAAAGCTGAATATGTCTGCTGTATGAAAATTAACAGTTTACAAAACATATTGCTAAACAAGGTTAATTATACAAGAAACCTGATACACATATTTGGTATTACTAGTAACAGAAACTGAATATTAAATATATAGATATTAAATCACATTAAAATATGCTGAGCTATACTGTATAAAATATGTAGCATTTGATCAACTTTCTACATCTTTGCCGAAAAAACAGTTAATTTCTTCAGTATTGTTATTGATGTATTTGTTAAGCTTTTTATGCATTTATCTTTTCTATGTTTAGGTGTTTACAATTAAGTGTTTTGTCTGTCAAGGAAGGCATAGGAAGGGTAGTTAAAAAATAATGTTTACATGGATATTGAATTCATCCTCAATATTGTTAATGTAAAAAATAATAAATATATTGATAAAAAAATATTATTGTCTTTAAAAATAAACAAAGGCAACACTTAAAGGCAACATAAAATAAAACAGTTAGGCTAATGTACTCCAAAATATGTCTATGTAGCAAAGAAAACTACAAACAATTCAGTTTTAAACCCTTCACATTTTCTCATTTTAACACGTACCCTTGTTTCTCGGAATCTAAAAGTCGGTTCAACTCTTTGGTCTTCATCTCCAGCTCACTGATCTGCTTCTTAAGAGAAGACTGCTCTTTCTGAGCCTGTTCTCTTCCGGAGCGGAGCTCAGTCAACTCAACCTCGGCTTTCTACATCAGACACAAAGAAAAGTCACCAGATTTTAGAAATTCCATTATGATAACAACACATATTAATAATACAGTAGTATGAGGTTTTCAAAAATGTCTCAATCATTTTTTAAATCATCACTTAAAACTTACTTTTTTTTAGTAGCTTTTAAGTAGATTTTTTTAATGTGATTTAAGTCTTTTATGCATGTGTCTTTGTATGTATCAAGTTCTATACTTGCTATATTTGCCAAGCACTTTGAGATGCTATAAAGGAGCTATTAAAAATAAAGTTTGTTATTATTATGTGAAATTTAAAATCTTTTAAAAACTTTTCCCAAGTGATGTTTAACGTAGAGAGGATTTTGTCAGCACATTTTTCATTATAATGGTTTTAATAACTAATTTCTAATAATTAATTTATTTTGTCTTTGCCACGATGAAAGTACAAAATTATTTACTAGATATTTTTCAAGATGCTAGGAGTTAAGATTCTAGGAGTTAAAATGCTTCAGCTTAAAGTGCAATTTAAAGAATTAACTAGGTTATTACTAGACCAATTAGGTTAATTAGGCAAGTTATTGGATAACAGTGGTTTGTTCTGTAGCCAATCGAAGAAAAAATGAGGGTAAAATATTGACTATAAAAATACTTTTAAAAATTTAAAACTGCTTTTATTTTAGCTAAACTATAAGAAATAAAACTTTTTTTCAGAAGAAAATATATTATAGCAAATACTGTGAAAATGTCTTGCTCTATAAAACACCCCTAGGTGAATATTTAAAAAAAATAACAACAGAAATTTCACACAATTTATATAATTTGTCAATATAGTCACTTGATTATTGATGTTCAATATAAACAACAAGACTGACATAATTTTTTAATTGATGTCCCTGTGATTAAGTAGAAATGCACTGCAGTCTAATAATATTGACCATAAAACTGTTTTTAAAATAAAAAAATGGCTTTTATTTCAGCCAAAAGAACAAAAAATTAGAATGTATTATAATAAGAAAAAATATTACAGGAAATACTCCTTGCTTTTTTAAACATCATAGGGGAAATATTTTTAACTGTACATTTTGTCAATATAGTCATTCGATTGCTGACGTTCAAAATAAACAACAAGCCTGACACATTTTCTTAATGTTGTCCCCGGTGATGAAGTAGAAATACAGTGCAGTGCTGCTGACCTTGGTCTGGGTCTGGAGCGTCTCTATCCTCTGTTCTGCAGTCATCAGTTTGTCTCTGCTGTCCTTCAGGCCGTTCTCCAGCTGAGAGCACTGCTCCTGCTTCTCCGTCAGCCTGCGGGCCTGCTCCTCCAGCTGAGCCTGCACTTTACTGAGCTCCTGCACAAGCACACACAAACAAACAACATCTTCTATGAGTTAAACAACAAAACATGACTATTAGAAATAAACTGGGACCGAAAGATACATACTTGCTGCTTATCCTGCAATGCATTCTGAGCAGTCTCTAGGTGGCTCTCCAAGTCAGCTCTCTGGGCATTTTTTGCTGCTTCAGCAGACAACAGCATCTCAGTCTTGGCTTTCAACTAAGAATAAAAGAGTATAACATTTGTTTTTTATTAATTAACGAAATAAAAAAACACTAGGCTGGAATAAATAAACTTTTTTAACATTTTAATGTAAAAATGTAGAGAAAGATTAAAAAATCTGGTTAATTAATGGGTAATAATGGTTAATTAATCGGGTTAATAAAACTGAAAAAGCTATATTAGTATCGTTTATGTACTGTTATAGCTAGTGCTAATATTTTATGCGTAATATTAATACGTTTATATTTACAAATATGTGTGTCCACGTGTATACATATTTTTATACATGTGGGTCTGTTTTATACACATATACACAGCTTGTGTGTGTGCATCTATACATACAGTTGAAGTCAAAATTATTAGCCCCCCTTTAATTTTTCTTTTTTTCTTTCTTTTTTTTTTATATTTCCTAATTATGTTTAATAAAGTAAGGACATTTTCATAGTATGTCTAATAATATTTTTTTCTTCTGGAGAAAGTCTTATTTGTTTTATTTTGACTAAAATAGAAGCAGTTTTGAATTTTTTAGAAAACATTCTAAGGTCAAAATTATTATCCCCTTTAAGCTAATTTTATTTCGATAGTCTACAGAACAAACCATTGTTATACGATAACTTGCTTATTTACCCTAACCTGCCTAGTTAACCTGATTTACCTAGTTAAGCCTTTAAATGTCACTTTAAGCTGTATAAAAGTGTCTAAAAATTGTCTGGTAAAATATTATTTACTGTCATCATGGCAAAGATAAAATAAATCAGTTATTAAAAATGAGTTATTAAAACTATTATGTTTAGAAATGTGTTGAAAAAAATCTGCTCTTCGTTAAACAGAAATTGGGGGAAAAAATAAACAGGGGGCTAATAATTATGACTTCAACTGTATATATACATTCTGTGTTTATATGTATTCTTTTATAAACATTTTAGTTGGCTTGTAATAAGCAAATTGGCTAGTAATAATTCAATTAACAATACCAACAGTGAAGTAAAAGATATAATTTTCTCATGGGCATAAAAAATGTATTGAAATAATCATCAATCACTTTGCACAAATACCTGAGTGTCTAGCTGAGCGATCTTCTCTCTGCTCTCTGTGAGCTGTGTGTTGAGTTCAGTGACGGTGGTCTCCAGACCCTGACAGCGGTCTTGAGCTGAACGCAGGTGTGTCTTCTGCTCCTGCACCTGTTCATGAAGGTTGTCCTGAGCCTGCTTGTGGCTCTCCGACTGGTTCTTAAGCTTGTCTGTAAGCTGCGTGATCTGAATGAACACACTAGAGTCAACATTTTTTCTGTTCAAAGACTAGATCAAACATGTAGTACAGCCTTGTCCAGTACCTGTTCTTGTAGCGAGTGATTTTTCTCTTGTAATTGGTTCAGCAAAGCAGCTTCTCCTTCTCCAGCCTGAATCTTGGCACACAGATCCTCTCTCTCGGTCTCCAGCTGGCTCACACTTTCCTTACTCTTCTGGAGCAGAGCTTCAAGATTCTGGATCTTCTGGTCTTTGTCGCCGATCTGACGCAACACCTGCTCCAGGTCATTCTGCATGAGAAGGTCATAAAAATGTTGTTGTTGTTTTTTATATGTGAATTGTATAAAGATATCTTGTAAAGAAAATTAGCATATTTCTGACTAATCATGTGAAACTCAAGACTGCAAAAAATGACAATTACAATTATTTAGTATATATGTACACACAGTTTATACAGTTATAGACTAAATTATTAGCCCTCCTGTGACATTTGAACTGATTTTCAAGCATACTTACATAATACATTTTTAACTGCCATGACGACAGTACATAATAGGTTGCTAGTTATTTTGCAAGATAGCTTTGTTCAGCTTTAGATTTAGGTTAACTAGACAAGTCATTGGACAACACTGGTATGTTCAGTAGCCAATCAAAAATCAGTATACTTTTTAGAATAGCTAATGATATGGACCTTAGTTTTTACAGCTTTACAAATATGTTTATTCCTGCCAAACTAAAAGAAATAAGACCTTCTCCAGAAGAAAAACAGAATAGCAAATAAAGTGAAAAATATTTTAAATAGAATTTAAATTTCACACTCTTCAGGTTTACATTTGGAAATCTTTGTGCAATTATATTGGTTAAATGTGTTCATTAGTTTCCATACCAATATATATAGTTTTACAGATGTTGTGTCCTTGTGTTCATGAACTAAAAAATAAACATATAAATAACTTTTAAAATGGAGTGAAAACCCAGAGAGGATCCCTTGCTCACAGGGAACCCAACAATTGACAGAAATCAGTCATATCGACAGAGAACTTCAATCCATAAAACTATATGATTATTTTCTTAATTTAATATATTGAGGTACTAATAATTAACTGTGTTTAAGCGTAATTACTGTGTTAAGTGTAATTACTGTATAATTCATTTACTGTATCTCTATTATTTACTGCAAAGTGTGTTTATGTAAATTTACACAGACAAACAAAAGAATAATTGCAAAAAAAAACTCCTTTCTTTTCTTTTCAAAAACCACCATGTACCTTGCATTTATATTTACAACTCCATAAACATAAACCCTAACAAACACAATGCTTGTCTAAACATATTTTGGAACAAACAATGCTATTTCTAGAAAATATCATAAATGCAACGGTCAAAATGCCAGTGTTCTGTTTACCTGTGCTTCTCTAAGTTTGCCATTAGTGCTCTGTTGAAGTGTTTGTAGTTCTTGATGCTGCTGTTTGGATTTGTCCAGCTGATGCTGCAGGTCAGTGGACTTGGTGGAGCTCTCCTTCAACTATACACACACACACATAATCACAGATATATAAAATCTCAGAGAAAACAGAAGTCCATGCAGTGAGTTAACAAGATAAACAAGCCCACCACACTAATAACTAGCCTGTCTGACTTACCCAAGTATAACATACATTATTCATAAAGCTGCTGGCTAGACTAATAATTACTGTCAACATGCACCACTAAATTGATGTGATTGGAGACCTCAAGTGCGGTAAAATGTTTACTCGTCAGCCATATCACGTTTTTACCTCTTCCTCTAAGCGGGAGAGTTTGAGCTGGAGATCTGCTGCCTGCTGTTCTCTGTCTTTGAGCTTCTCTCCAGACAGCTGTCTCTGCTCTTTCAGACGACCCTGCAGCTCCCCCACCTGACGCTCCGCTTCCAGCAGCTTCGCATGCAGCTGAGAAAAACACCAGAGACTGATTATAAACATGTAGCTTCTTAACAAATCAGCTTAATGTACTCTGCTGCTGTACAAATGTAAATGCCTAATGGATGAATGGGTCAGATTCTGGGTGAATAGACTGATTCAGGTTTTATTTATGAGCAGAAATTATTGGATATTTTTTACTATATACGCAATTTAAATGTATTTTTTATGTAGTATTGTTTTTATTTTAGAATCTATTTTAAATGTTATTTCTGTTTTATGAATGTTGGGGTCAGAAAGTTAATTCTAAAATATTATACAAGTTATTATTCTGTATTGTTTGCTGGGTTTTGTAATATAATTAAAATCAATAAAAAAAAAAACAGAATTATGCATAATTACATGTAACTGACACTTAACCTAACCAACACCCTTTACCCAACTATATAGAAAGTACAAGAAATCAATTAATATTACTCTGTAGTCAAATAAATAGTTACACTGTAACCTTGTCCCCTCCTTGAAATAAAGCACATTTAAAAGGCTGAACTAAAGCTGAACTTAAAGATGAGAGGGTTTCATTCTGAATTAAACAATATATAAGTTTGATTCTGAAATAAAAGAGATCTTATTTTAAACTAAACAATGGATGGGTTTGATTTGAAAAAAAAAAAGATAGATGGATCTGATTCTGTACTAAAACATGGACGGGTCTGATTCTGAACTTAATACGGAAGGTCCTGATTCTGATCAAGTAGAAAGAATCTGATTCTCAAAAGAAAGGGTGGATTCAAGTCTGTTTAGAAGGACATATTTGATTCTGATTCTAACAGGATTCATTTAATCCCGATTGAAATTTGATTCTGAAATAAACACTAAATGGATTTGACTCTGATTCAAACTGGAATTTGATTCTTTTTCTGAACTAAATATAAATGCATTTAATTCTGATTCTACAGAGATGGATTTGATAATGATTGGATGAACGACTGAAAGATAAAGATTGGATCCAATTTTAATTTAAAAGATGGATTTGATTCTAAATTGATGTATTTGTTTCTAAACTTAAAGAAACAAGTTGTTTACTTATCCTGCCACTTGTTTCTTTCTTCTGTTGAACAAAAAGATTTACTAAAGAACGTTGGGAAAAACAGCCATTTTCTACCATAGTTTATTTTTAGCTCATTCCTAATAAGAATGTCATTGGCTTCTTTTTTCCAACCACTTGAATATGAGTAAATGATGAAGAAATGTTAAGTTTTTTAGTTAACTATACCTTTAAAGACCCTTTCAATTAAATTCAAAGAATTGATGAATTAGTTTCTAAACAAAAGGATGGATGGATCTAATTCAGTACTAAAGAATGGATGGATTCTGAACTAAAGTATAGATAGATCTGATTTCGACATAATAAATTAGATTCTAAACTAAAAGGACAGATTAATCTGATTCTGAAGAAAAGGGTTGAATCATCTTTTATTAGCATCTCTTACTGACCTGGCTGATCTCACTCTGTTGCTGCAGGCCCTGGTTTTCTTTATCCTCCCTCTGCTGTTGAAGTTGTTTCCGCTCTGCCTTCAGCTCCTGCTGGTTCTTCTCCAGCTCGCCCAGCTCTCGTCTGAGTCGTGCAGCCTCTTCCCCACGTTCAGTTAATTCAGCCTGTGCTCGACTGAGAGCTGCTTCTCCTGAAGACACCCGTGCTCGACTCTCCTGGAGCTCCAGCTCTTTCTGATGCAGATTAGCCTGAAGACTCTTCTTAGAGGCCTGTTCGTGACCCAGACGCTCCTCCAGTTCCTGATTCTCCTTCTCTTTACGAGATAATTTCTCTGACAAAGCCTGAGGAGTGGCAGAGTGATTACATTCATTGCTATTCAGTTTTTTTTAATATGACCAATTCATTTATACAAACTTTTGTTTCATGGCAACAGTAAGAATGCAATACAACAAGCTTTTTCATCAGACCACCGGCCGCCAGCACAGAATACCAAAACATGAGCATTTTATAACAGTGTTTTTGAATGCTGACAAAATGTTTGGGAATTCTGGGATAGCTCAAACACCTCTTTTATGAGAGCAGAGCTGAGCAGTTGTATTCTGACCTTTACTTGTGACAGCTTTAAAAAGGGCAAGCAGAAAAAGGGCATCGTGACGTCCAGAATGGTGGCATGAGGATGATAAAAATGTCTTGTTTAGCTTATATGTGTTTTTATTGAGAATAGCTATGTTCTCTTCCTACAAATATTATTTTCTTCCAACTTTTTTATAAGATAGAGGCCTGCTATTTGTTTGGTTTCTGAAAGGCATATATGTTTTTTAAAGGTTCATCCAAACCTGTGTGTCTTCTTTTAAATGACCTTTGTAATTTTCGTACAGAGATTTTCCTACTTAAGGTATAAGTCACCTTCAAGGGCAGCACAAATGTCTCAATTATTTTAAATAAATGTAAATATATATATATAAATATGGGTGAAATAATGTCAGTGCAACCAATATATTCATATAAAATTTAAAGAGCATACTTATGACCTGAATAATTAATATTAAAATGAAAATGCTGTATTTTAAAAGATTAAATATTTTTATTACAATGGGTATTGGTTTGAATGAAAATGTTAAATTAAAACTTTAAAATGTATAATATAATTATTATAGTATTTAGGGGCTTTACTCTGATTTTAAAAAATCACACATTAATTTTTCTCAAGTATATCAGAATTTAAGTTACTGCTGAAAATTCAGTTTTGCATCCACATCAACAGATTTCATTTTAGAATTTAAAATAGCACAATTTAAATCTGTAATATATATTAAAATAATCTACAAATTTTAATAAATATTTTTTAATTAATTATGAAATAATTTCTATTTTTAAACAAAATAACTACAGCATTTGTGAGCATAGGAGACCCACTATTTTTATATCAGAGTTTAATTCAGCTTCAAATTGCAAGCATCTTTTTTTTTTTGATCATGCTGGATGAAAAAAAAAAAGAATAATTTTCCTCTCTGATGAAAAAAAAGGACTTTCATTAAGATAATTCACTGTTCATTTCACCAATGCATAAGCTAGTTTTAACAAAATAAGTCTTAATATGATGTCTAATTAATATAAGTCTATTTTAATTTGTCTATTCAAGCTATGCTTCCCTTTACATTTTACATGTAAGTTTACTCCTCTCATTCCTGCATATTCCCTTTGAACTTTTTGAATTATTGTTTAAATTTATCCCTTAGGACTCTTTACAAGGATGGTTCTAATAACAACCCCTTAAATTGCTCCTATTTCACTTCCCACCGGTACCACCGTCCACATTTTTTAGAAGTCAGCGCGCCTGTAGACTCTGATCTCTTAATCCTGTCCTGACAATTTAAACAATGGATGAGAGAGTTGTGGGTCATTACCTGTGGCAATATATCCTTCTGATAGTCAAAACAGGCACGAGACAAATCTCCCCCCTGCTGCTGTAATTGCACAGCATCTGTGATGTAAATGTCAACACTCGGTTTAACGACCAATCAAAACACATGGCCTGCTGACAGGTCAGTGGGACAACTTTGGACCGAACACACAAGACTGCTTACTGTTAAGTGTGTTATGCCATTTCCTGAAAGCCAGCTGGAAGCGTTTGTAAATGGCAGTACAGTAAACTTATATTTGGATGCAGGCGCAAATGCTGGCAGGTCTTAACATAGTTCTGTGAAGCCGTTAAAGTAGGCCATTAAAATCTACAGCTGGATTTGCAGTAAACATACAGCACATGCTTTGTTGCTAAGGGTGGTCCAGTAATTCTAGGCTACTGATGTCAATTCCCACAAATGACTGATCAGTGTTTAAATTCAAAACCAATTAATCGAAAAACAGAGATATTGCTATTTTAGTGGTTCAATGTTTCCGCAATGACAGGATGTGCAAATGACGCTCAAATAGCAAATATAAACGTCAAAGGAAAATTATTTTTCACAATTATTTTACTGTAAATTGTTTTTGTTTGTTACAGAATATAGGCATGCCAGCTTCAATAGCTATTTTAAAGCCAGATTATATAGATCAGAAGTTTTTACAATTTATTTTTGCAAAAACTGTACTTGGTGTAACTATAAAAAAATGAACTATATAGAAAAAGAATGAGAAAAGAAAGGATCTTCTCCTAGCATTAAAAACTTGTTTGTCACCCAGGGGTCTGCTTCGTAAACCAAGCTTACAGAAAAAGCCAGGATTATTTTGGTAAGTCAGGTTTATTAAAAGCGGAATTTTGTTTCATAAATCAAATTTACATTAGTTCAAACTCAGTTAGTCTGGCAACTTATGCTGGAAAACTAGCCTGGTCTGGGTCAAGTTAACTCTAAGTCTTAAGTTCAAGCCTAATCGAGGTAATGTTAACATTCACCTGCCAAAATTTGATGCCATTTTAATTCACTTAACCTCTTAATAATGATTAAAACTTTATAGTCAGTTAATAGTATGTGTATACACACACCAAACATCTTTAATACATATAATGCATTTCAATTCAAATAAGTTATCGCAAACAAAAAAATACAAACTACAAGATTTTTATATATTTTCTATGTTTCTATAGATTTTTTTCTTCCGTTTATGAAAATTTTATTTAATATTTCCCTCCAACATATTAATTTGGATGTAATAATTTTTAACTGTGATCTTTATTTATTTATTTATTTCTTATTATTATTTTTTTGTTAGATCAGTTCCAAATTTTAGGGTACTGAATAATCTAACGTATATGCACAAAGATATTATTGTTAAGCATCCTCTAGAAAATATTAATTTAAATAAACCTGTGAGGGGTGTACTTAGCCATATACATATATATAAATGACCAACATTTTATAAAGAAAATAATATAAAGAAAGCACTGACTGAAATAAAAAGTAGGCTTTTTCTTGCAAGCAACAATTGGCAGCAAGAGCGCATTCTCTCTTTCTCTTATGCGTGCGCAAGAACAATTTCACTGCATTGTGACAAATATTTAATTTAACATTATTCATTCGTTCATTCATTTTCTATTCAGCTTAGTCTCTTTATTAATGATGGGTCGCCACAGCGGAATGAACCGCCAACTTTTCCAGTTTTTACGTGTATGCAGATCCCACTCTCTTTGCCATTTGTTATTATTAATATTAGGCCTGCACGATATTGGAAAAATATAACATTGCTATGTTTTGTTATTCTGCAATATATATTGCAATATGATGAACACAATTTCACCAGATGACTTGAATATCTCTATTTGGAAAGAATTTACCATTTTAAACTGATTTGGATGATTCTGTTGGGAAGTGCATCTGCATAAAATCTAAAAATCAATCTACAAGCATTAATAAAAACAATAAAGAAAATGTTACAATTGAAACAAAGTTTTGATCGTTTTCTATGTCTAACAGTATTCAGATACAGTCATTGAACAATAAAAATACAAATAATTCAATGCCATTATTCATTTTTAAAGTTACTCATGGTACAATTTCTTATGCCTGAATACTTTTAAAATCATCAGGCCTCAAAAGCATATGCAAATGCCCAATTATAATGCAACCTCAACACTGCAGATCCTGCGATGCGACTATTGTGAATGATCATATTACGATATTGATGCTGAAATGATATATTGTGCAGCCCTAATTAATATAGGAACAAATGATTAGTTTTGAGTCCAAAAGGGTTATTTTACACTAAATAAAAGACTAGAATGGAAAAAGAATCAATAATTGATTGTTTAAAACAGCCAATTCATGATTCAACATAATGACTAATATACAATGTGTCAAAAGCCTCAGAAAATATCTTTTCATAATTTTTGAGTTCACTCAAAAATTAACATTCTGTCATCATTTACTTGCCCATAAAGAGTTACAAGTAATCATTACTAATAAATATAAGAGTTTTAAATAAACTTGTGTGCTCGCTTCATTTTTCTTTTGGATGTGTTGTAAATGTTAATTGTATGTGCTTCAAAACTATGCATGTTAATGACATTAAGTTATTTAAATGAGTTGAGTTGTAATGCTAAGGTGTATGGATTATAACGGTTACCAACAATTAATCAACAGTAGATTAATCACTGATATCTCAACTGAGTGTTACCTGGGATTGCTGCTGGAGGTTGTTCAAGCTGCTCTGTAATTGGTGGATCTGTTGTGTGTAAACCGCTGCTTCTTGAGGACCCTTCTCCAGTTCAGCCTTTAATTGAGCAATCGTTTTCTGCAAACAAACACACAAATGTGAGAACGGTGCAGGGAACAGGTTACGTAATTAGGTTGAAAAAAACAAAATAAAGACAGTAATGGACAGAAGTGCAGTCTGTTAAATTATAACAAAGCAATACACATTTAAAGGAGCACCACCTTTTTTGAAAAAGTCTCCTAGAGTTAAACAGTTGACTTGAATATTTTTTAATCCGTTTAGCCGATTTCTTGTTCTGGCAGGTCACTTTTAGCTTAGCTTAGCATAACGAATTCAATCAGATTTGACTTTTAGCATTTAGTTAAAAACATTTAAAAGATTTTTGACAATTTTCCTATTTAAATATTGAGTATGGGGCGACACGGTGACTCAGTGGTTAGCACTTTCACCTCAGCAAGAAGGTCGCTGGTTCGAGTCCCGAATGGGTCATTTGGCATTTCTGTGTGGAGTTTGCATGTTCTCCCCATGTTGGCGTGGATTTCCCCACCTTTCCAAAGACATGCGGTATCGGTGAATGGAAGGGCATTCGCTGTGTAAAACATATACTGGATAAGTTGCCGGTTCATTCCGCTGTGGCGACCCCTGATGAATAAAGGGACTAAACCGAAGGTAAATGAATGAATGTAGATCGAGTATTGTGTAGTTACATTGTGATAGAGGGTGCCGGAGTCTTTTTTGAATTTTTAGAATGAAATGCTAATGATCTATGCTGTTTCAATTCATTATGTTAAGCTAAGCTAAAAGTGACTCCACCAGAACAAGAAATTGGCTGAATGGATTCAAAAATGGTTCAAGTCAACAGTTTAACTCCAGGAGACTTGTAAAATGAGGCTTTTCTTTTTAAAACAGGTGGAGTGTTCCTTTAAATCACAGGTGTCAAACTCAGTTCCAAAAGGGCCGCAGCTCTGCACAGTTTAGTTCCAACCCTAATTAAACACACCTGATCAAACTAATTGAGTCCTTCAGGCTTGTTTGAAACCTACAGGTAAGTGTGTTGGAGCAGGGTTGGAACTAAACTGTGCAGGGCTTCGGCCTGTTTGACATCCCTGCTTTAAATGATACATTTTATAGTAATGTTCAAAAGGTTTAATTTTATCTCCAAGATTAATTTCAGCTTTGACTAAGTAGGTATGCAGTAAATTAAAAGTAATATTTCAAATAAGCTTCTGTTGTCAATTCCCATAAACAATAGTAAGTTGCAAAACTGATTATAATAAGAAAATGTTAAAATTATTGGATTACAATATTTATTTGGATTAAAATTATTGGAATTTAAATGGCTGCTGATAATTCAGCTTTGATGATAATTTTAACAATATTTAAGAATTTTTATAAAATACATGCCCTTGGCCAACATAACAGTCCAAATATTTATGAATCAAATGTTAAATTAGCATCATATTGCAAACTACATTCTTTGTTAAAACTGTTGGTAAAAATAAATCAATAAAATACTAACTGATAAACAAAAAACTACTTTAAATGTTACTGATGTTCACGCTCTAGAGCCCTATATGGTCACTCCGAAGCTATGAAAATCTGCAGAGTGCTTTTTTTACATGCACATGACCTAGGACTTGTCCTTGCCCTAAAGCCTGGTAGTTGACTGTAGTTCTTTCCCTCAAAGTGTCATGTTTACTTCCGTCAATGTTAATCTGCCATCTACTGCATCTTCTTGCACATGGTGAAAAAAAAAAAAACACCTTACGAAAAATAATAAGTTCCATTTCTAATGTCCCGTTTTTTGTTTTTTTTTACTTTTATGAGGTACTTAAAACATAATTAAATAACATTGCATTATTGTGGAGAATATAAGTACAATTAGAAAGCTGATAACATAAACAACATAAAAGCACACAGACGTCAAGAAGGGCTATTTATCTGTACACCTCAGAAAAACATTTAACATTTTTTAAATGGTGGTCATTTTTAAATTCAAATCTATTTAATTCATCTTTACGAAAACAATTTAATTCATCCTTTAGTTCTATAGTGCTTTTTTCACAACATAACAGTGTTTTTGATCAAATAATAAGACGTTATGTAGCTTTTCTAAAAACCTTTTATAAAAAGTATTGGGGGTTGGGGGAATTTGAAATTAAATCATTCATTTTACTTATGTTATGCAAGTGAGTGATTCAGGCAAGGAACAAATTATACCTATTAGTTATGAGACTGGAGCTTATTGCTTTCCTAGACAGCTCTCCAGGGCCTAAATCAGAGACACTTAAAACTAATGGATAAAATCAAATGTAAAGAAAGACTCTAAACATTTCCTTAAACCGTCACTAGATGGCAGCCTTTGAATTCTGTACACCATCCTATGTCGAAGCAGAACATCTATGCTTAGTTACACTGAAGTGACCTGTTTGTGATCTATGAACCACAGCCATTCCAATTTTGTGGGCCCTTATATAACGAGAAGCAATTTTTTAGGTCAGAAGTGCAGGAGATTACAGGCATGTTTACAGGAAACACTCAGAGTTGGAAGGCCTGCCAGGGGTTAATGGTTAACCTCGGGAATCTGTTCAGTGTGACCCTCAAACGTTGAACAAATATGCTCAAACACTGCATTATAACTTGAACCTTCAGTATGAAAATTGCTTGTGAGTTTTCATTCGTTTTCCTTGCAGACTGAGTAATTTACCAAAGCAGTAATCTGCAATCAGTCTTAATCTCGGTTCGACTTGAAGAGACGTCACTGGTGCACCCATTCAAAGGTCAGCCGCTTGCTTCTGTCTCCAAATGACCTCTCATTAGCTTTGCCTTCGTGAGTTATTGATTCTGGCATGAGCCTCCATATTTTCCGGCTTTAATCGATACATACAATTTCCAAATAAACAGCTCAGAGATCAACCATTTATAAAGCAAAGCGTCACGGTAACTGTCAATTAGACAAGGTCACAGCAGCTTTGAGCCAATTCCTGCAGATTCCTATGGTCGATCTTTGCAATCAATGAATTGACAAATTGATTTTTTTAATATAATTACTTTTATAATAATAATTTATTTGTATAACTTTAATAATGCACAATGTGTCTATTTCATGGCAGGATGCCATGTCATGCGTGATGTGACATGAGAGGACATGCCAATGAAAAAAGGAAAAAAGTGCAGTAAGATTATTTTTATTAAAACTTACGCAAGCTAGAAGACTGCTGAGACTGCAGCTCTGCACAAGACTTTTGGCCAGCAGAGAAATTAAAATGATTGTGCCGAACCGAGTTTGGTTCTCTCAAGGTTTTTTTTCTTCACTCTCCTATTGGTGAAGTTTTTTTCCCCTCTCCGCTGTCGCCACTGGCTTGCATGGTTCAGGATCTGAAAAGCTACTCATCGATGAATTTGCTCTTCAGTGTTTGGACTCTCGATAATGACTTCAAACCACACTGAACTGAGCTAAACTGAACTGAGCTTAAACACTAAAAACTGAACTACCCTGATCCAGTTACTATGACCATTTATGTGAAGCTGCTTTGACACAATCTACATTGTAAAAGCGCTATACAAATAAAGCTGAATTTAATAGAAAGATCATTTGCTTATTGTTTATTTGATTATCGCATGTTATGACCTCTGACGTTTCAAACCCCATGAATAAACAGAGAGCACTAATGTGCACAAACAACATTCTAAACAGCTAAACTAAAGCATCATTAAAAAAAAACAGCTTTGTCTTATTATTTTTGGTTTGAGGCACTGCATTATCAACGGACTGACCAATGAGATTGACACTTTAGTTCCCGTGCCGAAAGCTGCTGAAGTAAAACAACGTTTCTTTTTTGTTTCTTTTCACATAATTTTCTTTGGCTTGTTAGTTGTAAGGAGCGATAAAATCCTGCGCATGAGGTTTACTTCTTCAGTACAACAACCAGGGTTGCGTTCCAGTCCAATTAGACATGCACTCTCAAACTCCCCTTCCCTTGTTCCCTCGAGTGAATCTCCTACTCGATTTTAAAATGTGTTCCCACTTCATAAAGTGGAACATACCCCTGATCCCTCGATTTTGACCAAGAATGCAATCAGCTTCATATGTTCTCTCTATCACATATATGTCCTAGAATGCAGTGCGATCATGACTTCATAACAGTGTAGTTTGCAAGTGCTCGAGGGTTTAGGGCAGGGTGTCAGACTTCAACACACTTACCTGTAGCCTGAAGGACTCAATTAGTTTGATTAGATGTGTTTAATTAGAGTTGGAACTAAACTGTGCAGCACTGCAGCCCTCCAGTCGTTAAGGGCATTCAGTTTAAAGTGGTGGTGCACAGTGTATTTTTAAGGCTTGGCTGTTTTATAAGATGCAAAGCAATGTGTGCTCATGCTTCATTTGTAGAAAAGCATGCTATTTTTTCATATGTCTTATTTTCATTTCATACAGCTTCTCAGCTAACATGAAAACGACTGTCATATTTCCTAGTTCCTCTAAAGGCCCGCCCTCAAAAGGCTCTGATTGGTCCAAACATAATTTACAGTGATTCGCGGATCGGGTCTGTCACTCCCCTACAAGCACACGCTTTTGCGCTGTGTAAACAGTAAACAGTCAGAGGCTCAAAGCAGCTGTTAGCGGCGTTAGCGTTAGACAGAAATAAAAGAGCACACAGCTCATGCCTGCTCTCTAAAATAAAATCTGACAAGTGTCTTTCACATATATTCAGAATAAGCATGTGTGATATAAAACGTTGTCATATCTTTTGCGAATCTATTATTTAAGATGTACTGTAGAATGCAGGGAAAGCAGCCGCATAGAGAGACACGCATAAAGAGACACTCAATTGTGAAGAGTCACTAAAAGCTGAAGATTGTGGCTGTTAACAGTGGTTTGACTGATAAATATAAATTTGTAGCTAAATTGTTAACAGTGCCAAACAGCATATACCATTGTTTATGTCCACCCTACAACAAATGGTTAGCGCTAGAAACTGTGAATATAGTTGATCAATTTGAACAAATAAAAATACTTACAGGTTGTGGCTCACAAGCCACAGCTTCATCGTTTGGAAGAGTTTTAACTGAATCCAGCAACAAACTGGGATAGATTCTGGAAGCTCTCCTTTGTCAAATATTTAAGCTATATCCTTTTTTTTATAATTCTCTGGAACATAATTAAAATTAAACTACGCACTTCACTTTTTTTGTCGTGTCCTTTTAAATAGGATATGGTTTTAATATCTCATTTCTAATAACTGATTTCTTTTATCTTTGCCATGATGACAGTACAAAATATTTGACTAGATATTGTTCAAGATACTAGATTCATCAAGTGACATTTTAAGGCTTAACCAGGTCAATCCGACAAGTTAGGGTAATTAATGCTGGTTTGTTCTGTAGATAATCAAAATAAATATTGTTTAAGGGGGCTAATAATTTTGACCTTAAAATGGTTTTTAAAACAATTAAAAACTTTTTATTTTAGCTGATATAAAACAAGTAAGATCTTCTCCAGAAGAAATACAAGAAATACTATGAAAAATTATTTATATATATATATATATATATATATATATATATATATATATATATATATATATATATATATATATATATATATATATATATTACTCGAGAAACTTTTAAGATTGTTACTTTTACTTAAGTAAAAATTTCAGCAAGTACTTGTACTTTTACTTGAGTATAGATTTTGGATACTCGACCCACCTCTGCAGATATTATAGTGGACATCCCCTTTAAACTCATTTAGATGTTCCCCCAGTAGTGGACACTTGTGTAACGTTATCAATGACGTACATACGTGGGAACGAGATGGAGGGAAGTTAGTGAGCAAAGGGCATAGAAAATTGGACTGAAATACAACACGAATGTCAAAAATATAAATTTGCCCAGTTCCACCTTTTGTACTGCGATATTTCTGTTTTTCATTAATATAATGTGAAAGTGAAAATGCTAACAATAAAGGTAAGAAATAAACATTCCAGTGCGCACAAGGATTTACTGAAAGCATATTATTTTTTTCCCAAATGGCCATAGAATATTCTGCATAGAAAAATCTGGAGAACAAAACAAGGCCAATATTCACTCATGAATGTTCAAGGTGTGTTAAAGGCTTCTGACATTTAGTCAGTAGCCCACTTCACCTGTCTTTATGTACCTCACATGAATAAAATTTCAATATTAATACATGTTCCAGTTCAGATGGATCATATGCTAATATATTTCAAATAACAAACAAGCTGATAATGCTGACCGCAATGAATGCACCACCCCAAGCGCACTACTGGAAAGCTTTTAATAAACTCGTGTGCACTTCACACCTGCTATACATGTTTTGCACATAATCCGCATGAAGCTCAAAAATACACATGTTAAAAAAGTCTGACTACTGCTAAGGTGTATGATTTGAGGTGTTCTGACTTTTCTGATTTGAATAATGTGCACCTTTTATAAAGCTGCTTTGAATCAATAAATATTGTTAAAAGTGCTATACAAACACAGTTGAAATGAATTAAAAGGATTATTAACAATTTTAATATTTAGCCATCTGTACCTCTGAGGTAGTGAAGTTGGCCTGCAGCTGCTCATATTGGCCTTTGAGGCGCTCTGACTCCTCCTCTCGCTCTCGGGTCATGTTGTCCATGAGCGTCTGCACCTGCACCAGCTCTTTCTTCAACACCTCCACATCTTCCACACCCGGCCTCTGGAGCTGGAGGAGAGCCAGTGACAGACAGGATTAGGCCGGGAAAGATTGATGAGGTAAGAAGTTGATGAAGTATGGGCAGCAGCAGCTGAGAGAATGCAAGCTCATTCATTACCACCAGACAATAAGTGTGACGTTACCAGCTCTGCCGACAGTTTCTCCTTCTCCTGTTTTTCTTTTTGCATATCTTGGTTTAAGTTGGCCAGTCTCTGCTCCAAAGCTTCTCTCATACTTTTCTCCTCATCGTAGCGAGATTTGATGTCTGAGATGGGAAAATTGGACAGGCCGGATTTACTTTATATTTACTGTAAATATAAAATGCTGGAACTTTCCTTCTAAGCTTACCAACTATCTCGGTCGCAAGCTGAGCAGCTTTTTGTTCAAACAGGTCCTTCATCTGTTTGATGTTGAACTTCTCTGTCTCCGATTCATTGAGTCTCATCTCAAGCTCTGAGAAAAGGAATACAGATTGTAAATTTACAAAATGAGCCATCGTGCTTACAATTCAAACAAATATTTAGGATTTTACATGAGATACACTCTTTTGAGAGAATTGTTTTTAAAATGTTTTTATCCATTAGGTGTATAAAATAAAATAAATTAAAAAAGAAAAGGAATAAAAATGGAATTAAACCTGGCCAGAATTCAAATGATAGGTCCTTATTTTGTTCTGTATTATATTTTACTTTATTTATATACAGTATATAAGATTTTATACAGATATACTCTGTTGAGAGCATTTGTGCCAAAAATATTTTGTATCCATAAGGTTTATAAATATAATAAATAAAATAACATAAAATTAAACCTAGCCAGAATTCAAATGAAAAGTCCTTATTTTGTTCTTTATTTTAGTTTACTTTATTTATACAACATACATTCTGTTAATAGCATTTGTGTCAAAAATATTTTGTATCCAATATGTTAATAAATAAAATGTCATAAAAAATAGAATAAAGAGGAATTAATCCTGACCAGAATTCAAATAAAAAAGTCCTTATTTTGTTCTTTGTTTTACTTTTTTCACAAAAAGATTTTATACAAGATAAACTACAAATGGATACAAAAATAGTTTGCATCCATTAGGTTAATAAACAAAATAAAATAAAATAAAGAGTTTTGTGCATTTGTGCCAAAAATAAATAAATAAAATAAAACCTGCCTAGAATTAAAATAAAAAGTCCTTATTTTGTTCTTATTATTTTATTTATACAATATACAATCTGTTGAGAAAATTTGTGCCAAGAACACACAAATAAATAAAATAAAACAAAACGAGGAATTAACCCTGGCCAGATATCAATATACAAGGTCCTTATTTTGTTTTTTATTTTATTTGCCATTTTTTTACAACATTTTTTTATACAAGATAAACTACAAGTAGATACAAAAATAGTTTGCATCTGTTATGTAAATAAAATGAAATAAAAATATATATATAAATAAATAAACTGGCCCAGAATTAAAATAAAAATTCCTTATTTCGTTCTCATTTTACTTTATTTATACAAGATGCACTCTATTGAGAGCATTTGTGCCAAAAATAAATAAATAATAAATAAATAAATAAAATAAAACAATAACGAGGACTTAACCTGCCTAGAATTAAAATAAACAGTCCTTATTTTGTTCTTTTTTTTTACAAGATACACTGTTGAGATGATTTGTGCAAAAAACAAATAAATAAAATAAAATAAAACCAAAAGGAATTTATCATGGCCAGATTTCAATATAAAAGGTCCTTATTTTGTTCTTTATTTTATTTTACTTTTTTTTTACACAAACATTTCATACAACATAAACTACAAATAGATACAAAAATAGCTTGCATTTGTTATGTTAATAAAATAAAATGAGGAATTAAATTGGCCCAGAATTAAAATAAAAAGTCCTTATTTTGTTTTTATTTTATTTATACAACATACACTCTGTTGAGATCATCCTTGCCAAAAATATTTTATATTCGTTTATAAAACACATACATAAAAAATAATAAATAAATAAATAAATAAATAATATAAGAGGAATTAAACCTGGCCAGAATTCAAATGAAAAGTCCTCAATGTGTTCTTTATTTTATTTAATTTTCTTTTATTAACCCACCCTATATTCAAGATCATGCTAGCACTACTTAACTAACCTGCATCTTCTCCACTTGTACCATCGCTCTGTAAGCCCTAAGGTCAATACACATCCAATAATTCAGTTAGACAACACAGCAAACATTAGCATTATCTCCAGCAATCAATAGACATTACTAAAATAGTAAATGTTCTTAAACCATCTTTAATATCTGTGTGAACAGCCATGCGTTTTAAAGGATTTACTTTATTAGTTGCTATTCGTCCTTGTACTTTGTCTAATTCTTTTTTCAATTCCTCAGAAAACCAGCGTTCCTCCTGAAAACACATGTTGAAATTGCACATCAGCAACTTTGGGCTCAATACACATCAAGTGGAAATAACATGATTGAGTAATCCTGTTATGAATAATGCACATTCAGGCATATAATGGCTGATAAGAAGGGAACAAAGTCAGAATACCTTCAGTGAAGCCTGTAAGTCTTGGATTTCCTGTCGAAGTAATGTTAAATCCTCCCTTAACAAGAAAAACACACGCCTTTAATTTCAACTCTTCATATTTTTCTTTGAGATAACCTGCCGCAATAAACTGTACACAATAAAATGACTTTTGCTTTACGTCCATATATATATATATCACTTTAAAAGGAAATAAATATAGCTCAAATCTCAGGATGGCAAGATTGTCTAACTGAGTTTCTCTGGAAGGAAAGTGAGGATAAAAGGTTTAATAATGCATAAGCCCACCTGCCGGGGCTAAAGGGGGACGGCTGGTCTCCTGGTTCATGAAAGACCTCATAATGTTTGAAGAGCTCCTCAGCAGAGTTATGGGATTTCATACACTGGGGACAAATAAAGCCCTGCGGAAAACAAAATTAAAACCCACAATGAGATCAGGCGATGATATGAAAGAGAAAAAAAGGCATGAAAGAGTACACCAATGAAGACAGATAAAGGCTAAAGCTGAAAATCGTCATTTACTCAAACTTCACTTCTCACAAACCTGTTTGAGTTTCTGTTTTCTGCTGAACAAAAAGGAAATTATTTTGAAAAATGTCAGTAACCTCTAACTATTGACTTCCATAGTATGTTTTTCCTACAATGGAAGTGAATGGTTACAGATTTCCAGCATTTTTTAAAATATCTTCTTTCGTGTTGTTTAACAAAAAGATTAAACTCATAAAGTTTTAGAGCCACTTAAGGGTGAGTAAATATTGAATATGTTTACATGGACATCAGTAATCGAATTATTTGCCTTCATCTGAATAAGACAATATGATTAAGGCATTTACACTAGTTGCTTTTTGAATGTTCCTTTCATGATCTCCTTTATAGCACATAATTCTATTAACATCATTCCGTCACTGCGCTATCCACATTTCCTCCGGAGTTTCATGTAATTTTGGGTGCTTTATTTTTAATTTGTCCACTTTAAAGGGTCACAAAACACCAAAACAATTTTTTTTGAGCTGTTGACAGTCATTTACGTGTCCCACACTGCGAAAAACACTATTAGGACACATTTATTTCACTAAAAAGTTATTTCGAGCAAATTCGTACTTCCGGTTCGAAACAAATTTTTGAAGCTGCGTCACGACCACGAGATCTTAGCGTGTATTCCAGCGTGTAGACTGGCTGTCTGTACCTGGGAGTACCTTATTATATCCCTGAGTGTGCTGCATTCATTCATGAGTAAGACTTGGTTCAAACCAATCAGCGCACTCTATTGTGTATGCGGTGCATCTTTATTAATATGCAGGATAGCTTTGAAGAATGTTTGTACCTGAAACAGTGTTCAGACGGCAAAGAGAGGACACCTTGTGGGAAAAGAATAAGAATTGTTTGGAGAAAAGGGTCATCAGTTTTGCTTTTATAATGTGCTGCAGTGAAGGTTTTGTTTTCATTTTCCAGCGATGAGAACGCAACTGGACTCACTTGCGGATCAGTGCACGCGAAAGAAATACGTTTGTACGGAACATTTTTTACTCAAGATCTTTTCACATCTGGAAATTGTGAAATCCGCATTAGCTGCTTGTTTCCTTCTTTAAAAAAAAGTTGGTGTTGATATATTATTACAATAATATGAACTTGAAGATGTGCTGTAAATGCTGCTCTCTGAACGTGAACACTGCAAGCAAACTATTACCTACCGTCGTGTTGAATTTTCGGCGCATTTTGTGACAGGATAGTCTACACACACGGCTTTCTGACCTACCAAGTGCATCTGAGTTACAGAAAAATGCAGAGGTTTGTTTCTCTTATACGACGTGCGGTATCAAACATTCCACCGTCATTAAACAGAGTCACTGTCTTTCTCCCCTCCGTGTGTGTTTGTTTTGCCTCTGTGAAAATCAGCACGTGCCCAAATGGAAACTCCCATTTTTATTCAAATCCTTCCCCTTTTTCCTCCCCCGTCACTCCCACCTAAACAGAGCTAGACACACCCACTTTCCTGAGTGCATATGGATTGTGCAAATCTGATACCCAGTATCCTTAAAGTTTGGACGGTATGGGGGAATTTTTTCCCTTTTGAAAACCAAAAACTCAAGAGGAGAAATTCCAGCATGGATCAAGCTGTGTGCTAAAGGGGTGCTAAAGGAGTAGAGTTAAGTTGGTTTTGTTTTGATATTTCTGACACAGCGATAGACGGCAATAACTCACACACCTCTTACCCTAAACAGATCTAAACTGTGTTTCCTACAAAAAATACAAAGCAGGTTATGTTTTACAGCTTTCTTTTTCCTTCTTTTCGCTCGATTTTATGAGCACTGCTCCGTTTAAGCCTTCGCCATAGTAACTTATTTATACTAATAGTGAATGGGTCATAATGACATGAGTTATTGATCCGGTAAATACGAATCTGCGAATCTGTTGCTACCTTTACTGAACTTTATATTTCCATCTGTTTCAAGCTACGAATATTTGAAATTCAAAATCAACAGAACAAAACAGAGATGTGATCACAAACTGAGCACTTGCGATCAAAATACTTTACCAGCAGCTGTTTTTCAATAATTTATAAAGAGCACACAAACATACTGACAGTTATAGTTAACTTACTGTACATTGTTATGGGTCAATGATGCTAATATTCGGCACAAATCCATCATGTTCTATCTATGAATGAAATATGTAAAAGCACTATCATGCGTGTTTCCTCGTCGATTAGTAACTATATTTCATTGCACAATTTATCAGGCTTTTTGGCTAAAGATAGAGAAATCATGGTTTAATTAGTTATAATTAGATTATTTTTAAATTTCATCTCTCCTACTGAGCATGAGCTAAGCTGTTGAATGGTTAGCGTATAAGGCGGCTAGGGTACGCTAGCTTCAATTTTGATTGAATTATTCTCTAATCGATTGCCTATTAATGTGGTGAATATATTCCTTTAATGCATACTGCAGTCCTTTTTTTGTCTGGCTTTCTGAGATATCCCACCTGTTCGACAAAAATGACTTTATATTCCTGGCAATGTCTGACACCGGCAGATACACATTGATAAAGCCATGCCAGGTATGAAAGCTTGACAGGCATAGCAACATTAACTAAGGAGGGCGGGGCTTAGCGAAGGGTCAATTGTAAGTCACTTTAGACAAAGGCCTCTGCTAAATGACTAAATGTATAAATATAAATTCTGTGAGAACAACGGTGAAATAAATCCATCGAGCACTATTACAAACAAAACTTAAAAAATAAAATAAAATGAGTTACCAGTGACATAAAAAAAACATTTGAATTTCACCATTCAAATTTAAATTTAGTAATCTAAATTTAGTAATTTAGTTAGCTAGTAATTTTTTTTTTGGGGGGGGGGGGGGGGGGGGGGGCTGTGGTGTCATATTAAGTTTGACTGTCAAAAGTCTATGTAATTTCTTTGTGTAACCAAACATTCAGCCACAAAACAACAAAAATTCATCATAATTCATTCATAATTGAAAAAAAAAATCAGATCAGTAAAAGATGATGTTAAAGTCCTAATAAACCAACATAGCTGCAAACGTTATTATTTATTTCCAACTGAAACAGAATTTGAGATATGGGGTGGGGTTTAATTTTTGTGCGCCTCTTCTGATCTTTCACTCGCAGCAAACAAATGGTTGGAGAGGTGTGGCTAAACATATCTCGCCCAGGCAGTCAAACTAATGTCATAAGAGAAGGCAACAATTAGATTTTGGTTGAATTTTTTTTCCAATGTATTCACTTGCATTGATTATTCGTTCACCTTAAGACTAACAATGTGTTCAAGCAAATAAATATTGAACATTTTCATTTCACACAGACTTTATTTCAAGTTCAACTATCCCTTAAAAAGTATTTTGAATCCAAGACCGATATCCCTTTAGCAAAAGAAATCATTTACAGAATGAATGCAATGAGGCATTTAGGCAGTAATATGGTAGCAAGGGTTATAAATTGAATTGGGCTTACCTCTGAGGACTCATTATTCATATCAGCAGACGGCTGCTCAGACTCCGAGCTCTGAGAGCCTCCTTTCCCAGGAGTCTATATCCACAAAGATTTATGAGGAGAAAAAGCAGAGAAAGAAAAGGATTTGAGTCAGACGTCAGCTGCCATGAAACTCGTCTCATTATTTCACACTATTCAGGTCTGGCAGAGCTGATCAGGTATCTGGGCAGCCGATCAACACTGAGTGCTGCTTTGGCCCGCTCACTGCATGTCATTCACAAGGTGTAAAGGCAAGGATCCAGGGATGTGTTCTGCACGAGGACATAAGTCGGCCTGAAACGGTACACTCGGCAGGAGGCTCGTTTAACGTTTCCCTCGATCTTGGCAACCAGGAGATGCATGATGTCAAACAATACTGTTGTCTAACATTGATACGCCCTTGACATTTCATATGTGCCTACTGTCAGATCACATGATATCACTGGAAGACAAGTGGCCGGAAACTGCACTGTAATCACTTTTAGACTTCTGTAGGGATTAGTTTTGACACCTCACACTGGACTTGTTACCTTTTTTTTAAGTTAGTGTTCAAATATGCACACATCTCTACGCAAAAAGCAATATTTCAAAAATGCTAAGAATGATGTTCAAATTCTTAATTAGAGACAGGAATTCAATGAATCCAACAAAAACTTAATGCCACACCCCAAAATTTATCATAGAATTATAATATTCTAAATTTAAATGTATTTATTATTATAATTTATTATAGAATTTATTATAGAATTATATCTTGACTACTAAAAACCTTACTAATAATTTTAGAGCAAAAGATACTAAGATTTAAAATATTTATATTTTGTAAAATTTACATTTACATTTAGTCATTTAGCAGACGCTTTTATCCAAAGCGACTTACAAATGAGGACAAGGAAGCAATTTACACAACTATAAGAGCAACAATGAATAAGTGCTGTAGGCAAGTTTCAGGTGTGTAAAGTCTAAGAAGGAAAGCATTAGTAATGTAAGCTTTTTTTTTTTTTTTTTTTTGAAGTACAGTTAGTGGTATAGCCAGAGAGGCAATTGCAGATTATGAGGTAAAGTGGAGACTAAATAGTTGAGTTTTTAGTCATTTCTTAAAGACCGCAAGTGACACTGCCTTTGTGATGCAGAACTTAATTTTTAATTTAAAAAAAATTATATATATATGTCAACCTTATCATGGAAAAAATAAGTTTTCACCAAAATAGCAAAACCGTTTCTGCCTTTTTTGTGTAAACTTGTATTTTACGGTGCTTTAAAAATACTTAAAATTGTTTCTATCAGTGTTTTCAAACAATTATATTTGATTTTCCAAAGTCACACAAGTGGCAATTTCACATCCATAACGGAGAGATGTCACATCCATAACGACACTTTTTCCTCATAAATGCAAAAATGTTAAATCAAATAAAAGCAATTATGTTTGTTCCATAAAGAGCCAACTCTTATCCTTTTGATTAGCATTGTTTTTTTTGGGTTGTGCAGTTTAAATGACAGAATTTCTACAAAGTAAGTTGTATACCATAAACTTGCAGACTTTTTTTGTCACATCCGTAACGCATGTTTATTTTTCTTCATTTAAAATATAAAAAAATGTTTACAGATTGATATTTTTCTGCTCCCACAACTCTGTGGCAAGTTGTTTTGAAAAATATAAAGAGATGTTATATAATGTTAACATATACTTTCTATGTGAATTTATGTTTTGAGTTTTTACTGCAAATGTCACATCCATAACGTTGGAACTGCTCATATATATAATATTCATTTATGAATAAAATGTCACAAATATCCAAAATAATATTAATTGTTAGAACCCCTAGAGTTTTTGCCAATGAGATATTATTTTTTAAACAATTAGTATAATTATATTCCCCATTTCTTGTTTCTCCTTATACATTTGTAACAATTTACTGTCTAAAATTATAATAATCTAATGTTAGAACCTAAGGCTGCATGATTTGGAGAAAAAAATCGAATGGCTATTTATTTGATCAAAATTGCTATTTAAAATGCAATTTACTATAATTTCATAAAAGAGCTGCAGGTTTAAATGGGGTGGTTTTAATAGCATTAAAGAAACACCAAGCATAATCACAAAGTACTCCACACTATGCCACTATTAATTAAAACCAATTTTCCAATAAAATTGTCAATTGTCGTGACAAATTAAAAAAAATAACTACAGTATCTATTGAATTGTATATAAACCTTTAAAACCTTTACATTTAAATCGTGTTATATATTTCATATTGATTTCATGACATTTATGGTGCTTTGACTACGCTTTCCATACATAATTCTAGTTTTATGTGCCAGCACATGAATTCTTGAATTAAAATTTGCAATTTATGGGTTTATTTATATTTCCATATTATTTGTGATACAATTTTGTCCTTTAATACAAGCAGTCAGATAAATGAACTGTAATTTTACCTGCTCGAAGAAAACACTCTTTTTAAATGCATCAAACAAAACTCAAGTATATGCACAGAACAACATGAGCATTTATAGCAAATAAAGAAATGTAAATATTGTCCCGCTTGCTTTTTGAGCGTTGTCAAGCGAGTTCTTAAAGACCTGTGATTGGTCATTATGTTCCTGCACTCAACAGAAAGGCTGGGATTGGTTGTAACTGTTAGCGTGGCTCTGGCGTTATTCACTAATGAGTGACACAGATAAACAGTCTCGGTTACGTCTATAATGTGCGCTTATCACAGCTAATCCATGATAGATGTAGTGGAGAAAACTCGCTCTGCAGAGTAACACTCGTGTCTGGATTCACAAGTATCGCCATAACAGCCGAGAGAGGAGAGGAAATGTTACCTTATGCAAGCAAGTAAAAGGTCCACACAGAGAGTTAGTTGGATCGTTTTAATTTCTCGCGCTCGCCTTCACACTTTTTTTTATATTTAGAATAATCGCACTTTTTCAAATAACGATTTCGGTTTAAAATCGGTCAATCATGCAGGTTTATTAGAACCCTTGGAATATTTGGCACTGTAATATCATTTATTAGAGCAATTAGAAACCCTTTATCAATGGCAAATTTTTAGCTTCTGCAAAATATTTTAAACAAACATTATTACAGATCAAATAGTTCTATAATTTAATAAGGGTAAAATCAAAAGTTTAAAAGAATATCGGGTAACGCTTTTTTCACTAAAAATAATATTCTTACTTTAAACCAAATACTTTTCTTTTCTAAACAATAAGAATCATTAAAATGTCAATTTCCAAATTACAAAATGGCATAGGCATTTCCAGCATTTGTAATAGAAAAAAACAAACAGGAATAAACATTAAACATTAAAATTATTAATTAAGTCTAATATTTTTATAATATCGCCAATGTCACTATATTTGTGAGAGTTATGAGAATAAAGGCCAAATAGAAAATAAAATAATAAAACAGTGGATGAATAGTGTCAGGAACTAGACCAAAAACTAGACCAGAACTAGATCCTATTCTTCAGCCCACGACCATATTATGGTAAAACAAGAAGGTAAACATTCATTGATTCAATGAATTCCTGTTTCTGTCAGCACTCAGAGCTTAAAGCACATAACTGCACACCATTTCCTATGCACTCTACATGACAAATGACAATTATTAGGACAATATCTTAAATGAATACTAAACTACAATTATGGATTGAGGAGCTTTTTTAAATGCAGCAACAGGATCCGCCAAATCAGACATCTCTGAATTCATCTACTGTGAGTCACAGCATGACAGATCACTGAAAACACATTCACACCAGCTATCTCAACAAGACACACCTCTTAGAAGAAATAAACAAAGGTGACATCTTGTCATGGCCTGTCGTTAATCATAAAACGACTTATTAATGAGTAATTTGCAGAAGCAGCGTTAGCCTGCTAACTGGCTAACAGCACAGTCTGCATGTCAACGTCAACGCAAAATGACATTATCAACAATGTACTGTTTCTAAATAACTAAACACATCTGCTGCACTTTCAGTTTGAGACAGTCCTCAAAAAGCAGAAACGAAAAGTCAATATGAATCAATCTTGTACGAGGCCACCATTCAGTCAGGCCCGACGAGCAACAATCACTGAATGAACGCCTGTATTTCACTCACCATCTGTAATATTCGTCTTAACATTCTGGTCCTTTTTTAGGTCAAACTATGAAAAAAAAGATCAAATCTAAGTTTTAGTTAATGAGGGCGTGTGTTAATATTTTGTTGTTGACACCTGCACACACACACACACTGCTGCTCCTTGTACAAGCCCACCCGTTTCCTGAAAAATCCCGCCCTTCGTCTGGTCACCGTTTTTGATGATTGGAACATTTGTGTGAGCGACTTCCAATCTGGCCAATCGTAGGCTGTCTGAATGAAGCAACATCCAATCATAAGAAAGAAAGATCGGGTCAAAGGCGGGACTTGTTGAAATGAGCGAAACAGTGACCGCACATTTTTTTAGTGGCAGTGATTCCGGAAGTATTTTCCCCATTCATTTTTTGAAACGGAAAATATTTATTAATACATTGTTTTAGGCAAAGGGAATTCAGACTTATATATATATATATATTTATATTTTATATATATTTTAAAAATATATTTTATTTTATTAATTGTAATAATTGAATTTGTGTTGTTGTCATTATTAATTAAATTTTTTCCACATACGCCATAGAACAATTTCAGTCCCTTTAAGTGCCTGTGCTGCACACAAAGGTTTTTGACCCAGTGGCCTTCCAAATTGAAATATCCTTTTCAACTAAATATCATGATGTTTGTACACAATCTTTCATCAAAATGTTTATGCAAAGTATATTCAATATAATATACACCTGACAAAAGTCTTATCATCAATCCCAGTTGTAAGAGCAACAAATAATAACTTGACTTCTAGTTGATCATTTGGGAAAGTGGCAGAAGGTAGATTTTTTCCGATGAATTATCTGTTGAACTGCATCCCAATCATCACAAATACTGCAGAAGACCTAATGGAACCTGCATGGACCCAAGATTCTTACAGAAATCAGTCAAGTTTGGTGAAGGATAAATCATGGTTTGGGGTTACATTCAGCATAGGGGGCGTGTGAGAGATCTGCAGAGTGGATGGCAACATCAACAGCCTGAGGAATCAAGACATTTGTGCTGCCCATTACATTACAAACCACAAGAGAGGACAAATTCTTCAGCAGGATAGCGCTACTCATACTTCAGCCTCCACATCAAAGTTCCTGAAAGCAAAGAAGGTCAAGATGCTCCAGGATTGGCCAGACCAGTAGCCAGAAATGAACATTCTTGAGCATGGTTGGGGTAAGATGGAGGAGAAGGCATTGAAGATGAATCTAAAGAATCTTGATGAACTCTGGGAGTCCTGCAAAAACGCTTTCTTTACCATTCCAGATGACTTTATTAAGAAGATATTTGAGTCATTGCAGAGATGTATGGATGCAGTCGTCCAAGCTCGTGGGAGTCATGCACAATATTAATTCTTTTCCCACTGCAGCATGACTTTATATTCAACACAGTACATTACTTCTTTTAAGTGACAAGACTTTTGTCTAAGCAAACTCAGACCTTACTATCCTAATTATTAAAAAGTGGCATGATCATATTTTATTTTGGTAAATAAGAGTGATCTAAAGGACTTTGCCTTTTATAAGCCACTTCTAATACCAAATTATTAACCAGAAGTCAAGTTATCATCTATTGTTCCTAAAACTTGGATAGATGACAAGACCTTTGTCAGGTAATGTAGCTAATCCAGATGTACATAATAGATGCTACTGTGCTTGTTGACAAATTGACATGGTCAAATTTTACATTTTGGCTTTTCATATAATTCCCTCAAATTTATAATTATTTATTCCCTTGTTGTATAGTTATATCTAAATAAAAAAAGCTAATCAGTTTAACATTGACACAAGTAAATTATAGAAACAAATACTTAACAAACAGGTGAACAAATTGGTACTAAAATTAGAACCAAGTCATAGCCCCAGTAAACATATAATTTGATTAAAGAGCTCTATATGAAGGATAATGTGACTTCCTTGTTGAAAAATACATCTCCTGTAAAAACGTCAAATCTTGGTCTGCTTTGTTTTCACCCCAACCAATTTAAAGGAAAGATAGGCTAAATTTAGCAAAATAATAAATAAATCCTGTGGTACAATACAAAATACTTCCTATGTTTTAACAACATCACAAGAAGCTGATATTTATGCCTTCAGGACAGGACCTGTCACATCATGTTCCAAGAAAAGCCTGCCTTTTTGCTTCAATATATATATATATATTTCCACCATGTTTACTAAACAAACTTGTTTTGTTATTTAATTTTTACACAGATAAGTTATCATAAAACGTATTTAACATCCCAACTTAAACCTTTACCTCACAAGCTTGATGTTTCGTTCCACCCAAAACCACAATCAGCTCAATTTACAGTAATCATTCTGACTTTGGAACTCAGAGAGAGAGTTTATTTTGTTTACAAGATTTCAAGGTAATCATTATCATTTTGTTCTTATTTTTCAAAGACAAGCACAAAATAAAGAAGAAGTCCTTTTTGTTGAATCATTTTGTGGACATTTTTATCATCTTTTTAAATATTCAACAGTGTTCACTAAGTCTCACCGATAAACAAGAGATGTCTGTATTTTCTAAAGCGCAATTCTTTGTCTAAAACAAACTGTGAGACTCGTAATCATCACTAGATAAACTAGGCAAAAACTGACTTTTTGTCTTTTAATATTAAAACATATTTACAACCTAACATGCGATCTCCTCTCTGAAGAAAGATAATGCTTGTTTATCATTTACAGTTTTAATAAAACAGTTTGGCCACATATTCCATCCAATTAAAAAAAGAATAAATCCATCCTTACAAAAAGGCATAATAGAACATTTAAAGAGGCCTCAAAAGAGAAACATATTATGCACAATTAAATAAACTTCCTCCTCGGTTATTTAAAGGGATAGTTGACAGTGGGTTCATTTAGTCAAGCCATTCCAAATTTAGGTGACTTTTTTCTTCAGCAAAAAATTGATGAAGATGTTATTTTAACTAAAATCGTGGTGCTTGGTGACTCTTAAAATGCGAGCCAACATTAATATATATTCATAAACATACTTATGTACATATCTGAATATATAAGCTCAACAAAAATCTATATTTGTGGTTCCTAATGATACCTTCCCAACACGCACTCAATGTCATAATAAGCTATTTTATGTTAGATTTAGTTTTCCTAGAGATGGGCTGTGGCTGGAAGGGCATCCGCTGCATTAAAAACTTGCTGGATGAGTTGGCGGTTCAATCGGCTGTGGCGACCCCGGATTAATAAAGGGACTAAGCCGACAAGAAAACGAATGAATGAATGTTAGATTTAGGTTATGACGTCAGGTGAACAAAATTCAATGTCTAGTCAGTGACTAAGGACAACATTATTTTGATGTCCAATAAGGGCGTGAAATGACGTCATATTGAGGTCCAATACTGATATTCATTCATCAGCTATGGCAACCAACGTCTGATAGACGTCATACTGGTAATGCTCACACAGCAACATCACTATATGTTATTATTTCATTGATTTTAGGCCGGACGTTGGTCATTGACATCAGCCTGACACTGAGTTTTGATGTAAACCCGATGTTCATTTCCAAACAAAAGCAAATGCCCCACAATGTTGGGGTACAACGTCAATCTGACGTCATCTGTGCCTGCTGGGTTGTGGCCTTATGAAGTGAAACAATTTTTACCTCAGTATATTGTCAAGAGCCAAAGGGAATAATTTTGTTTAGCCTGTATTTGTATTTTGACTGTTTTTTTTTCTTTTTCGATGAAGATATTTTGAAGAATGCTGAAAACAACTATTGACATCAATAATAGGATTGCACTGGCAAAGTAGTATTGGCTTGCATTTTATAAATCAACCAGCATTTCATCATTAAAAGATTAATTTATGTTACTGAATAAAAAAAATAACATCACCTACATTTTGGATGGCCTAAAAGTGTGAGTAAATTAACTGCTGATTTGAATATTTTGGGTGAACCTTCCCTTTAAACTTCCAAGATTGAGTTACTGATAATGTGAATTATTCATATAACTACATATTGCATTTCTGTGGCATTTAGAAAACACTATAGTTTGACAAAATATATTACGGTTAACATCGGGTGTTTTGCCTTTTCTTTGTTTTTCTGAAATATTCAGAATATCGCTCCAGGCAACATAAACAGCATAACATTCCATAGTCTTATTAATATTATTTTTTTGATCACATTTTACCATGTTGTCTTAAAGAGACGATGGCTCAGAAGTAGTTCTTCTGCTTCTCAGGATGGAAAACTAAACGTTCATGTGCAAAAAGAAAGTAGGATCATCAGATTGCACCTTTTAATGTTGCAAATTCACATTTAAGACCAAACTGTGAAACGACCTTCAACTTCACAGCATGTTAAACCTATATTACAGGTAGATTTCTGTGATGAAGGCATCTAATATACTCAAAAGCAGCCCAAATCCTCTTTTAGACTATTTACATATAATATAATTCATGATTTTGATGTTTTGACTTGATTTTACGTTCCTATTTTGTTCTTTATGAACACCCTAACAAGAATGCCTAGTTATCTATTAGATATAAATAGACAGCATTTCAAAAGACCCTTTCTAAACAGCAATCAATCAACCCTTGGCACATCACCACCATCCTTTTTCTTCTTCTTCCACTTAAATCCATCTATGAAAAAATATATTCAAAGTGTCCATTAATACTTAACACTTCACTTCACATATACCTTCCAATAACTCTGCTTTGTTTGGCTTGAAATGCACATTTAGAAATGAAAGGAAGATAAAGAGAGAGAAAAAAAAATTATGAAAATAATCATCCTGGTTCTTATTGACCCAGAAACTTGCAGGCGTTTCACAACAAGCCTTTGGTTTCTACACTTTAAAAAAAGTTTCAAATAGTAAACATTGAAATGATACATGCATAAGTGTCTCTTTCCAGTCTGAGGATGGTTTCCCTTGCGTGTTTGGCTCTGCTGGTAGTTCTATCTGTGCAAGCGGGTCAGTCCGCAGTCGTGTGAGGCCGTCTGGCGGAGGCTGGCGTTGTCGTCTGTGTTCATCGTCGGCTCCTGGGTGTTGCCGTTTGTGGGGCCGCAGCGAGGAGTGAGTTTGCGAAGATATTCTGCGTGGAATGGTTTGTGGCACTGTAGCACCCGGATGGCCTCGTCAATCTTGAACCATTTCCGTTTGCGACCTGGAAAACATTAGATTTTAGAGTACTTTAATTATTTGACATTCTTGATACATAAAGTACAGTACTAACTTACAGTGGGGGAACATATCATGTTTTGTCTAGGGATTAATATTTCTAAAGGAGCTGTTGACCCAAACAATACAAACATAAAAATAAAACAAAACGAATCTGAAAAATTAGTTATGTATAATCACAATAAAATGACACAAGGAGAAAGTACTGAACTACTGAAACACATTGAATAATACTTTATATAAAAGGCTTTCTTTAATAACGGCAGCTTAAAGATGCCTTTTATTTGGAGAATGAAGTCACATGTATTGCTCAGGTGTAAGTTTTTCACAGACTTCAACAGTGTAAAAATCTAGATGGTTCCGTGAGTCTCGTCTACCAAACATGAGCTTTAATTTGTATTTTATATTGGATTCAAGTCAGGTGATTGGCTGGGCCATTCCACAGCTTGATTTTCTTTCACTGAAAGCATTTGAGAATTTCCTTGGCTGTGTTTTGGATCATTGTCAAGCTGAATTGTCCACCCTGGTTTCATCTTCATCATCCTGGTAATGTAGATGTTGGACTGAAGCAGCTAATATTCATTTACACTGATAAATGGCAGAGGGTTGCTGAAGAACTACTGAGGGATTTCAGCTGCTGTCTGGGCTTGCATTGCCTTTCTACAGCTCCCTTTCTTCATGTGTTCATGTGTTATATATATATATATATATATATATATATATATATATATATATATATATATATATATATATAATTTTTTTTTCATGAAATACTAGCTGTTTAGATAATTTGTGATCATTTGTTTTGTTTTTAAATAAAATAACACGATCAATTTGCTTATTCAGCAAAACATGTATATTTTAAAGCACCTTCAATACTAAACCGAACATTAAACATAAATAATAAATACATTTTCAGCTACTCAGTTCTAGTTAGCCACCAATATTTGTATTGTTTCAAAAACATTTAAAATTAACTTAAGAATTAACTTCTCAAATAGTACCATTAAAACACTTGATGCAGTTCTTTATGGTGACCAAGACTTAGATTTTTTTTTTTTTTTTCAAAATTAGTTAACACTGAAGCCAACATTAAATATTTCCAATATATAATTTTTTTTTATTTTTTAGCTGTACTAAATCTTTAGTTAAAAGTTGTACTGTTCAGAGGACATCTTGGACTCTCTAGTGTTATGTCATTTGATTGGCTGGCATGCTAGGAACCACTTCTTACACTGCATATAAAATGGCCGACATACAAAATAGCACATTTTATGGGAAGGAGAGAGGTATGTAAAATTGAGCTTTTTAAATGTTTTATTATTACATATATATATTTGTTTATCAACGTGTCAGGAACAATCCGTATAGCTTTTAAAGCTGTTAACTTGTTTTTGTTTCAAAACATCATAATTTTTTAAATGTCCAGTTAGTGGACACCAGGACCATCTTAATGTAATTAATGACTGCATGTTGTAGGGGGCAGAACTGAAGCAAAGAGGATTCCTTATAAGATAGTTGAGGGAGACTCTGACTTAGAGTCTGACAATCAGACAATTAGAGAATTAAAGACCATTAGAGAATGACTATCAGTTTTAAATCGTTTATGTTAAATTTATTTTGGATTAACATCACTTCTTTTTTTTTCTTTTTTTGAGTTGAGTCTCTTTCATACTAAACTGTTTCAGGAATTTCTATACAAAAAGAAAAACGGCTTTTGTTTTGTTTTTGTTACATTAATATTGGATTAATATCCCTTTACAGATATATCCTGTACAGTTTTGTTGTCTGAGTGGTGGTCGTTTCTATCTAAAATGGTCCTGTGGTCCACTACAGTGGACATGCTGTAAAATTAAAAATAAAAACAAAATGTAAAAACTCTAAATTGTACAATTTGTTTAACCCAAAGGATGTAGGAAATCACAGAAAAAAAAGAAAGAATTTCTTTGGGTCTCAGGAGGATATTTGGTCTGAATTAATCATATTTTTATTTGAATATATGAACATGACAAAATCTGCAATACACTGTACATTAAACGCTGAAAACCAGGATTAATTATTTGACAACATAAATGAAAATAGTATATTCTGTTCAATGCCTAAGGTAATTAAAAACTAATTATCAAACTACTTCTGACTTGCTGACATTAAATACACTTACAATATAATATAATATAATATAATATAATATAATATAATATAATATAATATAATATAACATAAAATAGTAGGGTGACGCAGTGGCGCAGTAGGTAGTGCTGTCACCTCACAAAAAGAAGGTCGCTGATTCGAGCCTCAGTTGGGTTAGTTGGCGTTTCTGTGTGGAGTTTGCATGTTCTCCCTGCATTCGCGTGGGTTTCCTCCGTGTGCTCCGGTTTCCCCCACAGTCCAAAGACATGTGGTTCAGAGGAATTGGTAGGCTAAATTGTCCATAGTGTATGAATGTGAATGTGTGTGGATGTTTCCCAGAGATGGGTTGCAGCTGTATAGGCATCGTTGCAGAAAAACGTGCTGGATAAGTTGGCGGTTCATTCCGCTGTGGTGACCCCGAAATAATAAAGTGACTAAGCGGCAAAGAAAATTAATGAATGAATATGTAGTAACTAATATAATATAATATTTCCAGGTGAGGTGTGCTGTTTCCGTTTTTTTACACATTCACTCATTTTACTTAGTTTAAAAAAGTGATTTATCAGGTATGTTTTATACAAAAATGGTATAATCCAAATTTACAAAACTGTTCCTCCAATAAAAGCAGCAAACAACATTTTCCTCTTCTTTAAGTTCCTACCAAGATCAGTCTCATCATCATTAAACAGACACGAAGCTGGATTAGCGATGATGACAGTTTAAAGACTTGCTGCTGTCCGTTTTAAAAATGCACCACTTTATTTAAATCCAGTACAAAAGGTCAACTTCACAGTGAACTTGTCAGACGTCGGTCTGTATAAGCATCTGCCTGACAAACATTCCTCTGTATTTATAGTCCCCAAAAGTGTCTCTCACAAAGTGCTGAAACTCAGACATTCACCTTAAGCACTTCAAAAAAAACATCACACATGCACCAAGGTTAAAAGTCACCGTTCTGACAATCAGATTATTGAACTTGCTTTGCATTCCGCTCAGCCTCAGTCAAGTAAACTCATTTCCTTTGTGTGTATTGAGGTTATGATGCCCTATTTGGCAGCCGAATCTACGGTACGGGCAGAGCGAGGCCAGCGATAGGGGAGTGTAGTGACGCTAACTGGAAAACAACTGTGCCCCTGTGAACAAACTTCACTCTATTTATACGGCTGCTGGGAGTGAAGGATTACCTGTTTTTTTCTTTCCTTGCCATCTACAAATAGTGCAAGTTTTGAATTGCGCTGTCTGTGGACGAGTGTTATTATTGTGTATCCTTCCTGACAACTAAAAATGCAGTAAGTAGACGCTCTTTTAAGCAGGCTAATCCACATGGCCGCTCTTGTATCTGTGATAGCTTTAGAAAACAGTTACATAAATCCCCATATTTGCAGCTGCTTTACAGATCAGCAGTTGCGTCTTATGAAAAGAAATGAGCTGGTTATGATAAGCCTGCCGATTTAAAACGGTTTAAATTCTGCCCAGTTAGCAGACTAAGCTGTAAGCAGACAAATGCTATTGATTTGCTGCAGACCTGGGAAGAGGTCACTTTGTTGCAGGTGAACGTCTCTGGAGGTCTCGATTAACATAAAAGCAGTCAATGCCACCTGTGTGCTTTATTTTAGGTGCCAAATTTGAGGAAAACAGGTTCTTTGTTGGCTGTGTGGCTCACCACAGATGCCATGTGAAATAAAACACAATTCAGACTGCTTTTCACCATTATGATGATACATTTTAAAGAAATTCTACAATAACATTTGGTTTTATTTAGACATATACAAGATGGGCAGCACGGTGGATATCACTGTTGCCCTATAGGTAGGTCTCGGATACAGTGTGGAGTTTGCATGTTCTCCCCGTGTTCAGATGGGTTTCCTCCGGGTGCTCTGGTTTTCTCCAAAAGTCCAAAGACATGCAATATAGGTGAATTGGGTAAGCTAAAGTGTCCGTAGTGTACAGGGCCGGAGTGGGACTCCTTTTCAGTCCTGGAGTTTCAAGCCTCAGACCGGCCCACCTCAGTTCACGACTGACTATATTAAAATAAGGTTATTTCCAATTACACTATCACGTCTTTTTTTTAAGAGAACAGCTGCTTTAGAACTTCAAATGTTCAGTAACCCTAACAGTATTGTATGTCGTAACAATAAAAATGAAAAAAAATTACATATTCAGAGGAGGATCAAACACGGGTCGGCAGCGTCGTTATCTAACGTGCTAACCACTGGACCACAACAGATGTACATTGAGAAGTGACTCATCTGAGTTATATGATCATTAACCTGCAGGCTGGATATATATATAAAAAGAGCAGAGCTGCAGTAAAATATTGAATAAGAAGACTGTGGTCAAGTAAAGAAATAAATTCATTTAAAAAGTGTGACTGCTGAGAGTAACAGATTCTGGAGCTAGGGACACCGGCCCTCGCGGCCGAAAAATGGACCGGCCTACCGAGAATTCTCCCGGTCCTCCCGTTTAGCCAATCCGGGCCTGGTAGTGTATGTCTGTATGTCCTGGTCCTCCAGGTTGGGGTTTGAGCGTTGGGCTAACAACCTACCTCATAAAAAATCACATGTTATGAAACACCAACATGGTGTGATTAAATATCAACCTCAATATAAAAGGCCCAAGAAGTAAGTCAAGTTTGATGACAGACTTTTATACTGCCTTAAAGCCAGGTCGGAAAGTTTAAAATCACTTTGAAAAGCTTGATGTTTGAGAAAGTCTCGTTGTTGCTAGCAAGTTAGCACATGGCTAACAGGAATTAACATGTTAGAAGGTTTCAAGGCAAGGATAACATGTTAAAGTATTTAGATCAATAGCATGATTTTGGCTATTTAGCAGGATTATTCATGCTGCTAGCAAGTTTCTAGCATGTTTAATGCATGGCTAAATAACATGTTTTAGCATGTTTAGCTTTTTGGTAGCATACATTAAAATGTTGGTTTGTTTTTAGCATGTTTAGAATTAATTAAAAAGCGTGTTTTTCTACCTTGTTTACACATAATGCTAACATGTTGCTAACATCCTTTGACATGTTCAATTATTTGACTTTTTTAAATTTTATTTTTATTATTTTAAATTTTATTATTTTTTTTTTAATTTAAATTTTTATTTTTGTGTTTTTTTGCTTTTATTGCGATAGGACATTAGTTGGACAAGACGGAAGGGTGGAGAGGGGAAGACATAATTCAAAAAAGTCTGTGAATCCGGATTGGAACTTGGGATGCCATAAAGCGCAGTTGTGCAACATTTTTAACAATTTGACAGTGTAAATTTTTGCTATAGCATTTTTGCATGAATTAGCATGTTGTTCCTATCATTTTAACACTTTGTTAGCATGTGTGCTAAGTAACATAAATTATGTTGCAAGCATGCTTCAACATGTATAACATAATGGCAGAACATATTGTTTAAAGGGCACCTAACTTTGCACTGCTTTTGAACGGCAAATGCGACAGGATACATGTTAATATAGACTGCTGTATAGATATCTTTTATGTTAATGTACAAAATAAACAGGATTTAACATCCACCAACCAGGAGTGATAAGTCTTCTTTTATTATTGTACTGACCTGCAGCTGCGGTGATAAAGACGATAATATCGCTGTAATTCATTACAAACATGCCCTGTTTTAAAAACGTTTTAAACTTGTAAAACTCATTCTTGATCACATTTGATGAGGATTGATGATCACAGCGAGCTCAACAGATCTTTTAATCCCGATTGCTTTGAGCAAGTCCTGTCTTGTTAATATGATTATACACATTACTACAGAGACATGTTAATACAAGGCTGTCAATCAATTCCGTAAGCGGGGAAACTGCACTCCTACGTCATGTTGCAGTCGGCCTCAAAAAGGGAGGGAAAAAATAACATCAGAAAAATAAGAGACTTATTGTGTTTCTATCACTCCAATATAAAAGTATACCTACACAGTTCTGTCCAAACAGCTTCTAAAAGATGATTTTCATCATAGGTGCCATTTAACACTGTGTAGCATGTTTCTAACATGACTAGCAAATTGCTAATATTAACATGGCAACTTTGACATGAGGCTTTAATGAGTTTATAGAATTGTTTGTAGAATTGCTGGTTTGCAGCATGATTGACCTTTTGTAGCAACATATTGTTCGCTATCTCCCAGCATGTTTAGTAGTCTAAAAATTGGCAAAGCTTGTTTTTCAATTCTAACATTTTAACATATGGCTAAAATCTTGAAACTTGTTGCTACCATGAATTAGCAAGTTTAAAGAATGTTTAAACACCAAGCTAACACGCTATTGGTGTGGTTGGTAGATTACTTGGATGAATTACCATGTTATCAGCATGTTACTGACATGTTTAACCCCATGCTAACCATTTTCTAGCATATTTCTAGTATGGTTAACACATTGGTAGCATCAATTAACATGTTTTAAGAAATGGAAAAAAATAGTTTAATGTTGTCACACCCAACTTAACCTTTTTCACCAATGTAAATGCTTACAGAATAAAAGTATTTGTTTTAAAATACTGCATTACATATTTAATATGTCATTTTATATGCCTGTTCATCAGTTTACTGGAACTAAGGCTGAGATTCCTGAACTTCAATTCAATCAATTATTTGAAGTTATTTGTATTTTCATAACAACACTGAATGCAGTCTGGCATTTCATATCAACTCACCAATATTGACTGAGTCCTCCCAGTCTTCCAGTGTCTCTGTAACAGTAAGCACATACACATAGGTTCGATGCTTGCTGTCCTGGTTCTGCTGTACAGAATGAGAAATATAAAGTTATCACATGGCATGTTTAAAACATAGGAAAACGAGCACTGAGAAGGTGTGAAGATGAGATATTTATGAATGTTTATGAAATAAAGCCTTGTTTATTGAAGTATCAGTGACGTGCTAAGAGCTGAACTAGCGTCTTACTTTATATAAGCCAGTTTGGCAGCCTTACCTCAAACACCCCCAGTAGCCTGCCAAGGGTGCCCCTCACTCCAGCCTGTTTAAGAAGATAGAGACATGGAAAAAGCATTAGAGAGACTCGCGTCATTCCCTACACACAAGCCTTTTCAGTTTTAAATAACGTTGAGGTCTCAAAGTATAAATCATACATAAATATTACTCAACTAAATAACAAAACCCCTCAAATATCTAACCTCTTTCGATATATTTTAGTTTTCAATGATTATGTAATCTGATTGTAACAGTAAAGCGAATCTTCCATTTGCACATAACCCAAAGGTGCTCTATTGAATTGAAATCTGGTGACTTCGGGGGCCATTTGAGTAAGGTGAACTCATCGTCATGTTCAAGAAACCGGTTTGAGATGATTTGAGCTTTGTGGCATAACGTGTTATCCCTCTTGAAACAGATATCATAACATGGGCATGGGTTTACTGTGGTCATTTCAACAACACTTAACTGATTCTTATGGTGTGTTCAAGTACTGTATATCAAATAAATCATATTTTATTTAAAAGTAAAAGTTTTCTTTTTACCTCCAAATTTCTGAGTTGAGGGTGTGTCCGTGAAAACCATTGCAAAATCAAATAGAAGTCAAAATAATATAAAAAGTATATACATACATACATACATACATACATACACACACACACACACACACACATATATATATATACACACACACACACACACACACACACACATACATATATATATATACATATATATATATATATATATATATATATATATATATATATATATATATATATATATATATATATATATATATAATATCATTAGGCAAAATTCATGGATGCAAAGTCAACCTCAGTGGGTTGTGAGTGACAAACACAATTGATTTGAATTAGTTAGTGTATTTTCCTGTTAACTCCATCTTGTGCCAACAAAAGTGACTCAAACACGCTTGACATTGTCATTACGACTTGCCAACCTATCAGTAAGAAAGTTCCAGAGTTGAACACAGCATCAAAGTGAGCCAAAACCTTTTCTCATACCACATTAGATCACCAGCAAACTAAATCACTGGTTTTCTAATCTTCTGCTTTCTAGTTTTGGTAAACCGAACTCAATTGTAGCCTAATTTTCCTGTTTCTAGTTGACCGGAGTGGCATCTGTTTTGCCTTTTTCTGCTGTAACTTCTCTGCTTCAAGGTTTGACCCAATTTTTTGACTTTTAAAAATTCTTATCAGCAGACCTTAGTTGTAACAAGTGATTATTTGCCGTTTAGCTTAAACCAACTAGGCCATTATCCTCTGACAACAACAATCCATGAAACTGACACTCGCTGTTTTTTCCGCAGCTCTGCACAGTTTTGCCCCAAACCTATATCAACACACAGCTGATCCAAATAATCGAGGTGTTCAAAAGAGTCATGAACACCTTCAATGGTTGAATCAGCTGCAGGGTTGGAGTAAAACTGTAAAGCTCCGGCCCTCAAGAAATTGAGTTTGACACCTATGCCCTAAACCCTATAGAGATTGGACACGTTTCAAGGTCCCAGTAGACCTGTTTCTGAACTGTTTGAACATTAATAGATCAACATGCCAACTCATGCAAATGAGTTGCTGCCGTGTGATTGGCTGATTAGAAATGTGCATTACTAAACAATTGAACATGTGTACCTAACAAAGTGGCCAGTGAGAAAAGATCCCGAATGCAATAAAACATTTTTAAAAAAGAAATTACTTTGGCTGTGACATAAGCTACAGCATGATTCTATCAGCAGCTTAACAAGATGATGAACACACCGAATTTCTGGAACCATACCAGCTGACGTTGACACGTCAGGCCAAAACATTAGCCTGGCTCACTGATCCAGGAGACCTGAGCCGCATGTTTCCATAACACAGGAGATCCCCGGACAACATAATGCTCACAAGGGAACATCATGTCTTCATTCAGACACTGCGAAATGCACCAACCAACCCGAGCTATCCTGGAAAATTGGGTTGATACGACCACTCGCGATCAAATCTGACAAACAACAGTGGGTAATTTCAGAAACTATGAGATATTTAGTCTATTTAAAACGCCCTGAGTGTGTTTCTGTCATCTCTGTGTATCCTGATCTGACACTGTCACATGACATGTGCATGGCCTTAGACAAACCCTGAAAATAAACAACTTTTGTTATGCTATAGCTGGAAAAGGACCAATTGTTTACCCATTTGACAATGTCAATTGTCATTTTAAAGCATTAACCCTATTATAAGAAATTCACTTTTTAAGATGTATTTGATAAGGCGACACAGTAGGTAGTGCTGACGCCTAACAGCAAGAAGGTTGGTGGTTCGAGCCTCTGCTGGGTCAGTTGGTGTTTTTGTGTGGAGTTTGTATGTTCTCCCTGCGTTCACGTGGGTTTCCTCTGAGTGCTCCGGTTTCCCACACAGTCCAAAAGACATGCGGTTCAGGTGAATTGGGTAGGCTAAATTGTCCGTTGTGTATGTGTGTGAATGAGTGTGTGTGTGGATGTTTCCCAGAGATGGGTTGCGGCTGGGAGGGCATCAGCTGCGTAAAAAAACGTGCTGGTTAATTTGTCAGTTCATTCTGCTGTGGTGACCCCAGATTAATAAAGGGACTAAGCCGAAAAGAAAATGAATGAATGAAAGATGTGTTTGATGTGTGTGTGTGTGTGTGTGTGTAACCATACAGCCTATAATTGTACAAATTCACCCAGCCTTTTTTCATAAATCTCCCTAAATCATAAACAGCATTACCAAAACGCACAGTAAGAGATAAGCAACAGTAGTGAAGCCTCTTCATGACTGTTGACTATTTTTGAAGGATGCAGCAATACCAACACTTGCTCTAACTTCAAGTTTAATCAGTCTTATTCCAGAAGAACTGCATTAATTTATATCCATTCAGATAGGTCCTTCCTTAGTCAGTCTAAAAATTCCTCCTGAGTCTTTATATTATTCTGCTTTGCTTCTGGTAATTTCTCGTTTTTGGCTTCATCTTTTTGTCATTTCTGGAGTTTCAGAATAATGTGTACAGACTCCAACCCTCACTTTTTTTCTGGGAAAGGGGAGAGATAGAGCTTATTTGCATTTAAAGATACACACACAAATTTGATACCTATAATAAATGGTCTGTACTCTCTCAGAAAAAAAGGTACACGTGGTACAAATAATGCTCCTTGAGGAACAGTTTTGCCCTTTTTTGTTTTTTTGTTGTATGTTATATGGTACAGAAACTACCTCTTATGATACTGTTCTGTGCATTTTATGGTATAATTAAAATGAAGAAACACAACTGTTCGCATAGAAAAGGTACATACAGTACAGGTGAAGTCAGAATTATTAGCCTCCCTGAATTATTAGACCGCTTGTTTATTTTCCCCCCAATTTCTGTTTAACAGAGAGAGGATTTTTTTTCCAACACATTTCTAAACATAATAGTTTTAACAACTCATTTCTAATAACTGATTAATTTAAATTTTGCCATGATGACAGCAAATAATATTTGACTAGATATTTTTCAGGACACTTCTATACAGCTTAAAGTGACATTTAAAGGCTTAACTAGGTTAATTAGGTTAACTAGGCAGGTTAGGGTAATTAGGCAAGTTATTGTATAACGATAGTTTATTCTGTAGATTATCGGCTAATAATTTTGTCACAGAAGAAAAAATATTATCAGACATACTGTGAAAATGTATTCAAAAAAATAATAATAATTAATGAATAATAATAATAATTAAATAATTCTGACTTCAACTGTAAGTGTTGACAACTTCTTTATTATGGTATTCATGAAAATACATATGACTGGAAAGGCGAAGTGATTTTATGAATTATTTCCATATCAAAACATGAATCATCATTTAAAAGTACTGTATACGTTTAAAGAAACTAATAAACGTTCATTTTAGTTCTATAATACAATATTACAAAACAACTGGTACTACATAAAACTATAGGTATTGTAAACTAAACACTTGAAGCATTTTTATAAATGTTTGGTAAGAATTTTTGCGCTGTTAAGGTAAAAAGTGTCTTGACACTGTGGTGGTAGTTTTATGAATCAGATTTGTTCCTTTCATGACGGTACAATATTGTATATGCAGGTTTTAAAATCCAAAAGGAACATTTTGGTTTTCCATGGTATAAACCGTGTCCTTAAAGGTGCAAACTGCAATGGTACAAATTTTTTTCTTTGTCTTAGGGTACAACTCTGTCCCATAAAAAGGTACTGCCCCAATGACAAGGGTTTGTACCTTCTTTGGTAAAACATTGTATCATTTTTTCTGAGAGTGTAGGGTATTTAAGATGAAGTTTCACAGAGACATTCTGAGGACAGCAGGTATATTAATATTACATATTTAGGGAAAATGGCATAACAAGTCCCCTCAAATATTCAATTCAAAATGGCATTAATTTAACACAATATGTAAAATCATTAATATTTTGATCCATTTCAAAATCTGTTGAGGCGCAATGGTTTTTGAACAGAAGGACAGAAATCAGATTTCATTAAATATGTTGGTTTGGAAAGACATGATACTGTCAGATTTTTATTTTCAAGCAGCTTAAAAAAAAACACGAAAGCTTTGGGACATCCCACACCTGGCAAAGCCCCTGGGGGAAGCAGTTCGGGGTCCCATGAGTGTCGCCATAGCCAGGGGCATGCCATAATTCCGAGACAGGTTTATAGACTCCTACAGGGTCACTCTAACACTTGAATGGCTCGAGTTACCTTTTAAACCATTATGTAATAAATAAATCCCTCGAAGTAAAAATAAAGTCTTGTGCATGACAGCCAAAATCAAATATAAATAAATAAATAAATAAATAGGCCAAATATAACTTCATTGTACAGCCTTTTTTATTGTTATGCAATTATGCTTTAGTCAATGGACTCAATGATTCATTTGATGAGCTGAATTTGACATATTAAAAGAAACATCAAGCATTCGCTGATTTATTCTATAATACAGCCAGACAGCCCAGTCCTACTGTAAATGTCACCATTAGCACCATAAAAAATGACATCCTTAAAACCAGAAAAACG